CATGGGTGGTGACGGGGATCTGTAAGGAAGTGCACTCCCGCGGAAGGCAGGGGACAGTAAGCAAGGGGCTCTGAGCTCAGAGGGAGCTGCCTTCCAGCCCTGTTTCTCTGCTTGCAGTTGTGTGACCTGAGGCAGGTTCCTTAAACCCCAGAGCCTGGGTCTCCTCATCTGTAAATGGGAGTGACAGACCCCCGACCTCCGGGTCGTTGGGAGGGTGAAATGATGCGGCAGCTGGCGCTCGGTAGGTCTCCCTCCACGTGAGCCCCGCCCCCGCCTCCCTGGTGGGAGCTGTACTTGTCCTTGCAAAGCCCCAGGCAGCCTTGGACAGTGTACAGGCCTCACTTGGAGAAAGGTTTTGTTTTTTTTTTAATTGTAGATGATCAAGGGGCTGAAATTGGGCCCTGAGTTCTGATTGAGCGGCTTTGGCAGTGGCGGCTGAGTGGTCAGCATGGCCGAGGTGCTGGTGTTGCCCTGGTGACGTGGGCCTCGGCCAGTTGGCTGTCACTGCACAGGTTCCTCGGCCTCCTAACTGGCCTCTCTGATTTCCCCTTGCTCCTTCCATGCAGGGCGGGGGGTATTCAGAACACAGTTCTGTTCATCCGCTTATGAGCTGATGTATGTATTGGTCTGCTCGGGCTGCCAGGACAAAGTACCGCAGACTGGGGTCTTCAACAACAGAGATTTATCTCCTCACAGACCTGGAGGGTGGGAGGCCGAGGTCAGGGTGCGGGCAGGCTGGCTTCTCCTGAGGCCTCTCCCCTTGTCGTGTAGACACCGTCTGCTCCCTGTGTCTTCACATGGCCGTCCTCTGTGCGACACTGTGTCCTCATCCCCCCTTCTTATAAGGACACCAGTCATTCTGGATGAGGGCCGCCCTAATGACCTCATTTAACTTAATCACTCTTTAAAGGCCCCGTCTCCAAATACAGTCATGTTCTGGGGTGGGGGTTGGGGCGTCAACATGTGAATTTGGGGGACATAACTCAGCCCAGGACTCTGGGCTCGTTTCCCCTGTGCCAGCCCTGGGCTGGGCTCCGTTACCATCTGCCGGCCCTGTTACCGTCGCGATTCTGCTCAAATCTTCAGCGTCCTCCTGCAGCCCAGACTGAGCCGGAGCGTCAGGGTCCAGGCCCTGCCCCTCCCGGCGTGGACCCCAGGCCCCCTGAGCTCCAGCACGGAGCCGCCAACGATGCCACCCAGGACAAGTGTATTTCCAGGCCAGCGACTGACCGGGAGAAGCCCTCGTCTGCTCTCCTTTCACTTGTGAGACTTCCCGGGAAGGTTCCATGACACCCCGTGTGCTCCCCACTCCACAGCTCCGCCCCAGGCTCTGTCACTTCTCTCTGGAACCCGGGAGGGAAGGGCCATCTAAGGCCGTGCGGTGCGGAAAGCCCTTAACGTTCAAAATGAGGACGGCTGGTCCCGCCTTTCAGAGTAAGGCCGCACTTGTTTGGGAGAACGTGCTAGAAGGATGCACTTGGAACCAGCAGCTGTTTCATTGTCCTGTCGTGCTTTGGCATTTTGTTATTTAAAAGAATAAAAAATAGACAAGTCCACAGGATAGTATGCTCTTACCACCTAGGTCCAGCCCCTGAGGGCGCCCTCCTTGCGTCCCACTTCGCAGTTCCTGCCAACTCGGCCCGTCCACCTAAGTGAACAGAGGCTGACACTGTGCCGTAGTTGCTTGAGATTCTAAAATAGAAATACTCTATTACAGGTAACGATGAGCTCCCTCACGTTCTCCTTGTCTCACTCTGGAGTCAGCCGCCACCATGGACTGTGCACAGTATCTGTCTCTGAATGTTTGTGTACAGATGTGTGTGTATATAATATACAGACATACATATGTTTGTGTAGTATGGACATATGCATATGATCCATAAACTAAACAAACTATGGTTGATACGTTTTTAAGTTTACATAAATACAAAAAATTACACAAATAGTACCACTAGTGTAATATTCCATACCTTGCTTTTTTTTTTTTTTTTTTGGATGAGGAAGATTAGCCCTGAGCTAACATCTGTTGCTAATCCTCCTCTTTTTGCTGAGGAGTATTGGCCCTGGGCTAACATCCATGCCCATCTTCCTCTACTTTATACGTGGGACGCCGCCAAGGCGTGGCTTGACAAGCAGTACGTAGGTCTGCACCTGGGATCTGAACCTGTGAACCCTGGGCTGCCCGAGCAGAGCGAGCGAACTTAACCTCTGCGCCCCCAGGCCAGCCCCTTCCACAACCTGCTTTTTTAACCCAGCATCATATGTGAGATTGATTTATGGGGACACTCACGTGGCTCTAGGCCATTCCTGTTACCTGCTGTGCGATATTGCACCCACGACTATGCACAGTTTGTTTACTGATCCCCCTGCTGTAGCCATGTGAGTTGTGCCCATCGGTGATCTAAACCAAACCCAGGTTTTGGTCTAGTTGAGTCACAGTGGAGTCATATAAGCGATTCACATAAGCTTTGGGGGTGCCCTGCCCCTCAAGCTGCTTAAGTGTAAAGCAAATCGAGTGTTGTTGTGACGGTGGAGTGGCCGCTCTGTGATGTCAGCCCCGCTCTCACTGCGTCTCAAGTCTCAGTCCAGCGTCAGCGTGTCTCGGCATCTCTTCTCTGTGCCTGCCCCCTGCGGCTGGGAAATGCCCATATATGGTGGTGTGACTGACCTCGGAGGAATCCGGGGCCCCGAGAGGTTCCACGGTACTGGTCTGATTCCCCGCGGGGCGAGTGAGCGCTCAGGAGTCCTCCCCGCCGTCCCTGGGGCTCTGCCCCGAAGGGAATGCCTCAGGAGGGAGGCCACATGTCGCCCACTGCAAGGGAGCCAGGCCTCCCCTCTGGACGGCGGGTATTTTTATCTGAAGCGCGGGCTCGGTCAGGACCCTGGAGAGTTTCCAAGGTCGGAGATGGGAACTGCGGCGTTCCCATGGCTCCTGGCTCTGCGCTCCGCCTCCTGGGATGCCCGGCCGTCCCCTCCCTGCCCCGCTCCGCGTCTTGCCCCTGAGGATGTCCTCCTCTGGCTGCCATCTTGCAGTCCCAGCCCACTCGACCGGCGAAACCTGGTTATTGCTAATGAGGAGACCTGTTCAAAGGGCTGGGCCTCTGGGGTTCTGGATGGGTCAGCGCTGAGGCACGGCTGCCACCCTCCCCACCCAGGCGGGATCCTGGAGCCCCTTCCTCCAGCTCCCTGCGCTGTCTTTAGTCAGCCCTGTCTCTCTGGGTGGGGGTGGTGGGTTTCCTCACCTGTGTCCCCAGCCCAACTGGGAGCTCCTTGAAGCCAGGGACAGTGTCCTCTTCATCTTCATGACCCATGGTCCAGCACAAAATAGGTGCCCGATAAAGGTCATGGGGTGACTGACTGACTCTCCCTTGGGAGTCAAGCAGAGGTGAGAGGTGTAAATGAACACACTTACTCGAGCCCTGCCTTGTTCTTGGACCGGACCAGGAGCCAAGAGGAGGACCACAGTTGCGACCCTTCAGTGGGGGTGAGACCCGGCCCCCTGGGAGAGAGGAGCCATGGTAGCGTGATGGGAAATCCAAGCCTTATAGGCGTCTCACCTGGCTCGAGTCTCGGCATCTCCACTTGCCAGCAGCATGGCCTTGGGTGCGTCGTGTCTCCACTCTAAGCCTCAGCTTGCTCATCTGTAAAGTGGGAGCGATAACAGACCCACCTCCTGGGTTGTGAGGACTGGAAACGACGTGGTGAAGTGACCGGCCCACGTGGATGCTCAGAAGGGTTCTTGGAAGGACAAAAGGCACAGCAAAAGTGCACCTAATAAAATTCGGACCTTGGAGTTTTTAAGTTAGTAAGTGTGTTCTAAGACTAGGACCATGCTTCCTAAGATGCATGCCAGGGAAGAAAGGTCAGTAAGAGGTGTTAATTGGGAACAGGGCCTGTAACCCAAAAGGCAAGGAAGGACCATCAAGATCCTTGATAGGTAGGTAATAAAAGTGAGAGAGTTTACTGCAGTCGGCCCCGTGCGTCCCCAGAGGGTGAGTCCCAACTGATGTGGCCGTGAGACCCTGCCCCACGGCCGCCAGCCCGGCACCGGTCAGGTGAGGGTTCCAGGAATGCTCTCTGGGAAGTGTGGCTCCAAGACGGGGCCACGAAGGCCCGGGAGTCCTGGCCACCGTCTTCTGTCCCCTGGGCGCTGCTCTTGGTTTTGTCAACCAACAATGGATAACCATCCCGGTGCGGTCGTCGGGTGCTAACTACCTGTGTGAACCACTAACTTAGCAGCCAGAAGGGTAACACCTGGCAGTGTCTGTACCAGGTGCACGGTCAGGAGCTGGCAGAGAGAGGCCACCTGCTTGGCTGTTGGGCGGGTTTGCAGGGCAGGTTCTGGGGTGAGCGTGGGGCACAGGCTCCCCCCGGAGGGCCCCTCCTTCCTCTGGCACTTTCTCCGAGGGTCAGATCAGCAGGTGACTGTTGCTCGGCAGAGCATGTGGCTGGGTCCCTGGCTGGGTTCTGGGTGACTGTGTCAGGGGGTGTGATGAGTATGTGGTGGTGCCCGGGGGAGGGCTGTGATACAAGGAGCCTTCTGCAGTGATGGCTCTGGGTTTGCCTGTCAACCACTTTTGGTAAACTGAGTCTTACTTCACAGGGACTGGAAAGGTTGCTGCTAATGTTGGTGCATGGCGAATCCTTCGGTGATGTGAAATGACTTTATCCATCTCTTTTGGGGCAGGAGAGGGAATTTAATTCAGGCCGTAGAGCCACTGGAGTCCTGAATGAGTAGAAATGCTGACTCAAAATGAGAAAGGATGGTGACGAGAGCAGTGGTGTCCAGGAGAGACGGTGCCAGGACCTCCTCTGTGCAGCCCGGGTGGCTTGCCCGGCTGGAACCCCAGCTCCACCACTGCCGTGTGCGGGGCCTCGCTGCCTCCGCTTCTGGGATCCTCAGTGTCCACGTCTGCCAAGTGGGGAGAGGAGCTCCTGTCGCACTGGCTGCTCAGGCCAGTGCTGTCGCTGGGTTAATGCCGCCCTCTGCTTCCTTTCAGAGCCTCGAGCGGCCAGCTCTGCGTCAGGAGCCCAGGCTGCCCTGTCCCCCGTTCTCGCTGCCCGCGTGGAGCCATGAGCTGTGTCCTGAACGGCGTCGTCCCCCTGGGGCTGGTGTTGCTGGTCTGCGGAGCCCAGGGCTTCTTCCTGCGCAACGTCACACACCTGGAGAAGCTGCTCGGCAGGTACCAGCAGGACGGGCCGCACTCCCGGGGCCGCAGGGCCCTCCCCGGGCCGGACAAGGAGGAGATCCTGTCTCTGCACAACCAGCTGCGGGGCCAGGTGTACCCCGCGGCCTCCAACATGGAGTTCATGGTGAGCGCATGCGCCCGACGGCCGGGCGCCCTCCTGTTTCGTCGTCCCCAGGCGCTGCGTGTGTGGCAGGCGCGGGGGCTGCTGGCAGAGAGGGTCCCCTGCCTCTGGCCTGGACAGCCCCCAGACAGACCCGTGCGTTCCCCGTGCAGGGGCCGCCTCCTGGCCGGCCCCTCCTGTAGCTCAGCCCCGGCACCGCCCTCCACCCCTTCCGCCAGGCCGCCTGAGCGGGGAGCACGGGCTGGGGGCGGGGCCTCGGCGAGCCCCGTGCCAGCTCTGCCAGCCCTGGCCGTGTGCCCGGATGCCTCCTGAGCCAGTCTGAGCCTTGGTTCCCACTCTGAGGATCCCACCTCACGGGCTCCCCGTGACCGTTCGACGAGAGAATGTGGTACAATGCCCGGCACAGGCGCCCGCGCCCGGGGCTGTGGGGTTACCGCAGTTGTGATGCCAACTGGGTGGTCATCCCGCCCTTTAACTGCGACTTCTCTGAGTGCCGAGCGCCGGCTGAGTCCGCCAGCGACGGGGAGCCTGTGGGAGGAGGGGGGGACAGGGGACAGTGGAGGTCCCCGGGAATCTGGAGAAATCCTGCAGTTAGGAGCAGGAGGGGCCCCAGCTCCCCAGCCCCGCTTCACCCTCATGTCTCCATTTCTGTCAACACCATTGTCCCTTCTCCCACCCCATGAAAGAGGTGCTGTCATTCTCCCATTTTATAGATTGGGAAACCGAGGCCCAAGGTCACACAGCTGGCAGTGACAGAGCCAGATTCGAACCTGAGTCCAGCTGACTCCAGGACCCATGCCCTCAGCCACCTTCTAGACTCAATTTAAACCCCACACCGGGCCGGCCCCATGGCTTAGTGGTTGAGTGCGTGCGCTCCGCTACCGGTGGCCCGGGTTCGGATCCCGGGCGCGCACTGACGCACCGCTTCTCCGGCCATGCTGAGGCCGTGTCCCACATACAGCAACTAGAAGGATGTGCAGCAGTGACATACAGCTGTCTACTGGGGCTTTGGGGGAAAAAAATAAGTAAATAAATAAAATTTAAACCCCACACCTACCACGGCCCCTGCCGGGTACCACGGACTCTTTCTCCAGCATTTTCCAGCCTCTCTTCCCATCCCGTTCCCGTCACCTTGATTATCGGGGCAGCCTCAGCCTGGGGGTTATCACCTCCCCTCTTGTCCTCCCCCAGCCCAATCTGAATCCTGCCATCATATCACACTTCCTAAATCTTCACTTTCTTCCAGCCTGTCTCCTCCTCAGGAAACTCCAGGGCCCTCTGTGCCCAGGGTGGAGCCCAGATGCTTCTTGCCTGGCATTCGAGACCTTCTCTCAGGAGCTCTTGTCTGTCTCGATACCTTATTTCCCTCCTTCCCATCACAGAAGTCTGCCTGATGCTGTGTGTGGCACAGCCACCGCACCCGGGCTCATGCTGTCCCTCCCCAGGAGTCCTTTCCCCCATCACTGCCTTGTCCCTCTCCTGGCAACCCTCATCCCGGGCCTCTGCTCCCCTCCTCCCTCTGGACTCAGCTGTCCCTTTGACATCAGCAGTGCTCGTGGTCGGGGACTGTCCGACGTGCCTGCGAGCCCCTCCCTGCCGCTGTCTGCCCACGAGAGGTGGCCCATCACCATCTCTGGCGGTGGGTGGGTTGCCCGTCTGGGCAGAGCCCCCCGAGCGAGGCTGTCCTTTGGGAACTCGTTACGAAACCATTTCTTTTTTCCCTCCAGAAAATGTCCCAGGCGTTTGTCCCAAAGGGACTGTGCTAATTTTAGGAAGGAGAGCGGGCACCCTTTCAAAATACTCGTGTGTGGGGCAGCTTGTATGGACTTTTCAGAGTTAAGGATGCAGGAAAATGAGGGTAGATTTCTTTGGAGCTTGGGGTGCAGGCTCCTCGCCCACACCTCCTGGGACCTGGTGGTTTGGCCTCAGTCCCCGAGGGAAAAGGACTGTCTCCATGTCTCTCTGGCCAGGTCACCCTACATCCTGTGCCCCTTCCCACCCAGGCCCTGCGTGGTGCCACCAGGGAGCAGGCATTTTTCTCAGCCTGGAGCTTGATGGAGCCCCAGCCCCAGGATCCCGGCTGTTCCCTGCCTCCTCGGGGGGAGCGGCTGGGTGTATGCTGTCTTCTCCTCACAGCCCCGCGCTGGGCTGGCGGGTGTAGGGAGGACTCGGTGCCAGTGAGAAGGGTCAGGTATGCCGCAGGGAGGCCCAGCGCTGGACAGCCTGGAAGGAGCCTGTCGTGTCTTCCTATTTACTTGCTTTGTGCTATTTCAGAGTTGGAGTTGGCTCTGGGTCCTCGGGTCTAAACGGCCCGCCCGTCGGGGGAGCTGTGCGTCAGGGGTGTTCCCGGGGCGCCTCCAGGCAGGGGGCCGTGAGGCAGGGAAGGCCTCTGAGGCGCAGCCCCTCCACCCCAGCATCCTCAGCCCAGCGCTGCCCCGCTGCTCCTGTTCCCACCCAAACGGGCGGCACCGATTTGAGAAAGTGTCTTGGAAACGTGGCTTCCTGCTCAGCCCTGCCTGCTGGGCTTCACGCCACGGTCCCTGAAATCGCCTCAGCACCCAAAGGTGGATTTTAAAACTCCAAGGAGTTAAGACACCCCATTTGAGGTTTTATAAGTGGACAGGCTGTGGAGCCAGCCTGCCTGGGTATAGGTAGTGCCTGCTTGCTGGCTGTGTGACTTCGGGCAGGTTACTTAGCCTCTCTGTGCTTGTGTTTCCTCACCAGCACAATGGAGACAATAAAAGCACCTTTCTCATAGGGTTGTTTGGAGGAGTCAGTAGATAATGCACGATAAGCACTCAATAAATGTTAACTACACTGTTGCTATTATTATTTTAGTAATTATTATTGTTTTAGTGGGGTGGGGCCAGCACTTGGTGACAGCATGCAGTGAGTCGGGAGGAGCCCCCTTGGAAGCCAGACAAGGCTGGGTTGTTAAAGTTCTAACTTCCTGGCTGTGTGACCTTAGGCAAGTAACTTAACCTCTCTTAGCCTCAAGGTTTTTTGTCTGCAACAATGGAAAGATAAAGCACCTCAAGGGCTTGTTGTGGGAATTAAATAAGAACATGTGCTAGTGTTCCCTGGCAAGTGGCAGGTGCTCAGAAGATGGTAGCTCAAGAGGTGCCGGCCCGGCACTGCCCCTGGCACTTAATATCTGAGTACTGAGGGCTACTTTGCTCTCCCCTGGGGGCTCGATTCCTGCCCTCAGTCAGCCTTCCCCAAAATCCAGCATGTACCATTAACCCATTTAGAGATAGGGAAACGGAGGCACAGAGAGGTGAAGCCACTTGCTCAAAGTCACACAGCCAGCAAGGGCAGAGCCTGGCCTAACACAAACACTCTCGCCAATGCACCTCAGTGCCCTGTTCCTTCCCTTCTCCTTCCTTGAGTTGTACCTTCGAGGGGTAAAGAATGTCCACCTGTGCCTTCCCTTCAGAGGGACGTGGGCTAGTTGTGGGGGCAAGTCTTCCTCTGGGAAAGCACAGGCTGAGTGGGTGGTGGGGGCGGGTGGGGACTGCAGGAGGTCAGTGAGGGCTGGAGTGAGCTGGGGGAACCAGGCCTCATCATGCATTCATGCATTCATTCATTCATGCGTTCATGCATTCATTCATTCATGCATTCATGCATTCATTCATTCATGCATGCGTGATTCAGGGGTGACAGTCAAGACATTTAACACTGCGTGGAAAGGGCACGATCCACAGGGTGTGTGTAGGCTGTAAACAACACCCCACAGCCACACCCATGACTGCCAGCCCTGCACCCCTTTGTTTGGGAAACATTGTTTTGAGGTCTTACTATGTGCCGGGCATGGCTGGAGCCAAGAGGAGGGTGGGAGGTGAGGGGCGGGCCAGGATGGGGATGCTCAGCCTCCCTTGGAGGGAGGGAGAGCTGGGTTCTCATGGGGCTGTGTCCTGTTGCAGCCCAGATGTCGAGTCTGCGGGTCTCTCACCAGAATTTCAAAAGCCTTTGACCCCTAGAGATCCCGCCAAGCCTGTCTTTCTTCCCTGACTCGACCTTTGCCCTCCTGCTCCCCTCCCCACCGAGCTGTAGAAACGTCATGGACTCAGACCAATGGCAAGCACGGTTCACGGTGATTGTGAGCCACGGCACAGAATAAAGAGTGAGCTGCTGAGAAGCCAGTGACCTCAGGCTGGGGTTGGCGACGCGAGGAAGGGCCTTAGCTGGCCACTTCCAGAGGGATCTTGGTGCGTGTGCCAGCTGCCCCCGTCCCCACCGCCCACGTCTGGCGGACAGTGTCTGTCCCTTCATGGAGCATCTGGACATCCCCTGTTTGAGGATGGGCTCCCCGACTTGGTGCAGGTGGTTTTTTGGGGGGTGATCCATGAGTCCAAAAGACAGGAAGGAGGAGGTCCAACATCAGGGTGCACTACGGGGATCTCCTGGTGGGAGCCGGGGCTCGGGTCTGCCGGGATCTGCTGAGTAAAGGGAGTGGCAGGCGGATCACCCACCCGAAGGCAGGAGGGGGGTGTGTCTATCCACAGGTCTGTCCCCCATTGTCTGGGTGTGGCCCCTGGCCTGTTAACCCCCCATTTTAGGCTGTGCCTGGGCACTGGAGAAGATCCGAGGCAGAAGTGGCATAGTGCGTGGTGGACACTAAAGGTGGGGCACTGTCGGTGAGAGATGAGTCCGAGCGTACCCAGAATGTCCACTGCAGCTGAAATGGGAGGTGGGTCAAGGGGTGTGACCCAGGTCCCCTGAGGCATCTGCCCTAGGGCAAGACTTGCCCCCGAATGTTGAGGCGTGTCCGTTGTCTTGGCTGGAAAGAGACGGCAGGACGGGAGGAGGAGAGGGAGCCGGCGGCTGCGTGACGTTCCAGACTGGGGTCCCGCAGTTGGTTTAACCGGTCTCCTGATCTTGGGCAGGTTCAGGGCTCTGCCCGGACGGTGTCTCAGGGAGTTCCCTCTGGTGCCAGGGGCTGGGGCTGCCCAGAGCAAGGGCCCGCCCCTACCTGCCGCGGGCTGCAGCGTCTGCCCTGTGACTCTGGGGGCAGGCGCAGCAGTTGGCTCACGGCCGCTGAGAGGGCCGCTCGGCGTCTGTTCCTTCGCAGAAGAGAAATGGCCCTTCCTGCTTTGTGCACGGTGTTCTTTCCTGAGTTCTGTGTGTTCCTGGGCCAGCTGGGAGGCAGGACAGGCTGCAGGGCCTGACTTCAGATTCTCTGGCCCAGACCGCTGCCCACGCCCCTGATTCGGGGTGGGCTGTGCCGGTGGGAAGCGGGGCTGGGTGGCTTGAAGGCATTTCTTGCTACTTTTTTTTTATAATGGTAAAATATACGTAACATAAAATATACTGTTTCAACCATTTTTAAGTGTATAGTTCAGTGGCATTAAGCACATTCACATTGTTGTCTGACTATCCCCACCATCCATCTCCAGGACTTATTCATCTTCCCATTTCTCAGATGGGGAGACTGAGGCAGAGAGGAGAAGGGACTTACCCAGCATCCCTGGCAAGTCAGAGGCAGGGCAGGAGCTCCAAGGACAGCCTTGGATCTGGCTCCTCTGAGTTCTCTGCTCACCTGCCACCTCCCACTTGCTGAGTTAGGACCCAACTGAGACGCGCATGGAACCCAGTGCTGCAGAAGCCAATACCCCGCCCACGGGACCCCTCGGGGCCCAAGTTGGTGCATCACTGCGTTTTTGGTTCCCACACCCATCCCTGACTCTGACCTCCTACTGCCCGTTTCTCCTCCCGCTGCAGACCTGGGATGAAGAGCTGGAGAGGTCGGCGGCGGCGTGGGCCCAGGAGTGCATCTGGGAGCACGGGCCTACCGGTCTGCTGGTGTCCATCGGGCAGAACCTGGGCGTACACTGGGGCAGGTAAGAGCCGCCGTGGCCCCTCACTTGTGAACTGAGCACCGCTGCTGAGCACCTGCTGCTTTTGGGCTCCGTGCTCGCTATCCATGGTTGCATTTAGCCCTCACGATCACCCACCGAGAGAGAGACCACCCCTGCCGTATATGTGTGGGGAAACTGAGGCTCAGCACCCAGGGGCACTTCCAAGTGCCTGGCAGAACAGATGCGAGCCTGGCTGCTGACTCGAGTCGCTGACCCCGGGCACTGGACTTGGGTGTCGGTAGCTTGGCTTTTCCACTCCGTCTCCTGGAAAGGGCTCTTGAGCCAGCTGCGTCTGGCCGGCAGGGAGCTGGCTGGGTGAGCTGGAGAGTGGGAATGTTGCCCTCGCAGGGGCGGTCGGTGCTCCGTCTCCGCCCCGGCGCGTCTGGGTTCTGCTCGCTCTGTAAGGCCCAGCCAGGGTCCTTCCCCTTGTGGGCGGGTGTCCCTCACCTTCCCCTCCTCATCCGGCCCTGGGGTTGGGGCCCACTCCTCGCTCACAGCGCTGAACCTCGAGGCCTCCTGGCCTGGCAGCACCTTTGCCCTCCTGCTCGTAGGCGGCGCTCACCAGTGGTCTGTTAAATGTTGCCCACTGCCCTTCCCCAAAGTCCTCTGGGCCCTATACCCAAGCACCCAAGCCGGCTGAGAGTCCCCTCCGGGCCGAGGGCTAGTTTCATCAGAGGAAGTGGAGAAAAGGTCTTTTGACCAATTAAGACTTACTGACCAATTTCTTCTTAGTGCCATGGAGTCGATTCTGACTCCTAGTGACCCTGTGCACAGCGGAGCGGAACCCTGCCCGGTGTTTTTGCACCATCCTCTCGCCTGCCAGTGCTGTATCAGACAGTGCTCTGCTGTATTCATAGGGTTTCCATGGCCAACTTTTTCGGAAGTGGGCAGCCAGTTCCTTCTTCCTAGTCTGTCTGGTCTGGAGGCTCCGCTGACACCCGTCCACCATGGGTGATGCTGCTGGTATAGGAAACATCCCCTCACAATACAGGTCGGGGTTTGCTTGACTTCAAACCCAGCATTTCCCAGCTCTCTCAGCTCCGGATTGGAATCTGACCACAAGCAGCTACCCTTTCCCCCAGGTCAGTGCCTCTCCAGCACCCCGGGCAGGCGTCACCAGGGGTCTAGAGACGTGGCTTCACGGAAGCGAGTCAACACGTATTCTTCCTCTGGTGAATTCTGCTTTTTGTAAAATCAGTCTTAACGATAGCATTAAAAGAAAATGTCTAAAGAGGAAAAAATCCACCGTTCCACCGCCCTGGTTAGCTCCTTTCCTTTTTCTGGCTCCTGTGTAGCGTCTGGCCATGGGCCGGCATATTTTTACGTAGTTGTAACTGTGGCCAGAACAGCTTTTAATTCTTTTCTTTTTCTTCCCTTCTCATACGAGATCAAACAAGGTTTCTCTTACATAGTTGTCATGGTTATCGTCTCGTAAAGGCTGCCTGTGCACCATCAAGTTGACAGACCGACATTGAGCCATTCCATTCCTGTAGGTTGTTTTTTTTCCTTGGCTCATTTGAATTCTTTCATTAGAATAACTCTGAGGACTAGGATTATTGGGTCAAAGGGCACGAAGATCTCCCCTGTCTGGATGAATCCTGTTAACTCACCTTCCAAGAGAGCCCCTCATTCAAAGGCCCCTTGCCAGCCAAGTGCTCTCCGCCCACGACCGCCCAGCCTGGCCCTGGGTCTTCAGGGACGCGGACGGGTCAGGGCCGTGGGTGTCCTTTCACCCGTGGCTCCCTTGCTGTGTGCGTGTCTTTCCCCAAGCTGGCCCAGGAAGCGAGGCCGTGTCCGGGCCATGTCACTGACTGCCACCGTTCGCTCCGGGTCTGGCGGTGATTGTTACAGGACCTCTAACTGCCTCGCCCCCACAGCGCTCTTAGAAACCGCCGGTCCCCCTGTGTCTTTTCTCTTTACTGAAACTGCTTTGTTTACACTTGCTGGTGACGGCCACCGGGGACTTGCATCCAGTTTATTTTCTTTCCTGGTAAGAAAATAACTGGAGGCAACCTGGCGGACCGGGCCGAAGGGAGGGGGCAGTGGCCACCCACGATGACTGGGAGTTTCCTCATTGCTGGGGGCGAGAGGGGGCTCAGCTGATAAAATCCTGAATGGGGGGCCGGCCCGGTGGCGTAGTGGTTAAGTGCGTGCGCCCCGCTGCGGCGGCCCGGGGTTCGAAGGTTCGCAGGTTCACATCCCGGGCGCGGACGACGTACTGCTTGTCAGGCCATGCTGTGGCGGCGTCCCATATACAGTAGAGGAAGGCGGGCACGGATGGTAGCTCAGGGCCGACCTTCCTCACACACACACACACACACACACAAATCGCAGATCGGAAGTTTTCTAAAGGTTCTGCTCCCTGGACTGTGGAGCTCCGCGTCCCTCCAGGTTTCCGCGCCCTCAGTGAGTTTTCTGCCTTGTGTCTGACTCCTTGGGTCCCCCGGCCGAGGAATGGAGCCGGTCATGACGACACAGAGACGTGAGCCTCTAGGTCCCTCTTTGGGGAGTGAAAGGGACCTGTCTCCCTGTCCCCCATAGCCAACTATTTCCCAGCTCTCAGACCCTCCCCACCCTCGTGGGTGTCCCGTCTGTGCACTGCCCGTTCCATTGTTTCCTGACTGTTTTTCTCTACGTTGACTTTAAGTGGACTCACATCTTAAATCAGGTTTTGTCTCAAGCAATAATACCTGTGAAATACAGGGTTCATGGGCAGCGTGTGGGCCACCCAGGGACACTCCTGGAACCCAGAGGGTCTCCAGGGATGCCCAGGTGAGCTCCTCGCCAATTCCTCGGGTTTTAAGCACTTTTAACAGGTGCTGGGTGGGATTCGGGGCTCTCAGCCCCGAAGGAGCCCCTCCTCCACGCTGCCCTGTGGGTGGCAGTGCTGCCGGCTGTGGTCTCTTTTGTTGGGTGTGTGGCGGCCCAGACGTAACAGGCTGATCTGCCCCTGCAGGTATCGCTCCCCTGGCTTCCACGTGCAGTCCTGGTACGACGAGGTGAAGGACTACACCTACCCCTACCCCCACGAGTGCAAGCCCTGGTGCCCCGAGAGGTGCTCGGGGCCCATGTGCACCCACTACACTCAGGTAACACTGGAGGAACGGCCGCATGGGACCTCAGCCCAGCGCCTGAGCCCCCGCCAGGTCGTTGCCCAATCGGAAACAAACCCAATCTGTGCTGTCTTTGCTTTAATTCTTTCCTTTAATTTGGTGCTATTCAAAGTATAGCTGGTGGGCCAAGCTGTTTGTGACCCGTCCATTCACAAGGGTAGAAACTGAGAATAAGCACTAGAAACTTCTAGGGCAATTTTACACTGCTGGGGCATTTTCCTGGTGTGTGGTTTGGTTCTGTTTGTTCATGTTTTGGTTTTAATTTTGTCTTGTTTTTTAAACAAATGTATGGATCTTTGGTGGGTTAGGGAAGAAATCTTGTCCTTCGCTCTTTCCCCACTCACGCCTTTCACACCGGCACCCTGTAGATCCAGGCCACATTGTGTTGCTCTGTGTGCCACCCCTTGAGCTCTGACGCATGGATGTTGTCTTTTCAGATAGTCTGGGCCACCACCAACAAGGTCGGCTGTGCTGTGAACACCTGCCAGAAGATAACTGTCTGGGGAGAAGTTTGGGAGAATGCGATCTACCTCGTCTGCAATTACTCTCCAAAGTAAGAGCAAGTGACATGGTTTTATGGGTGGGGATGGGTTGGCCTGCCATGGAGAACCCAACTAAATGTGGCTTAAATGATGGAGTCTCTTCATTATTTCATGTAACAAGGTGTCTAGAGGTTGGTACATCCAGGTTAGCTTAATAGCTCAGCAGTGTCAACAAAGACTCAGTCTCTTTCTGTCTTCCTGCTGTACTATCCTCTCCTCATGGTCCCGAGATGGCTGCAGAGCACCAGCCATCACATCTTCCCAAGCAGAAGAGAGGAGAATGGTAGAAAAGGGTTTTCTCTTAGGCCTTTCTCACCCCTGGCTTACTTTCTCTTTGTGTCATTGGCCAGGACTAGACACTCACGGACCAGAGGAAACAAGATTGCCCCAATTAACTTTGACCAATGACATTACCTTAATTGGCTTCAACCAATGAAACTGTCCCAGTTGGTTTCACAAGTCATCCTCTGGGACTCCCTGAACAAGTCAGAAGCAGGAATAGCTGTTGGCTGGGCAACCAGTAGGGTCTGCCATAGTGAAATTTTTTTTCTCTGAAAGTATGCAGCAGATGGCACTTCCTCCTTAACAGCGTCCTGATGTCATCAGTGTGTCATTTATTCCTTTACTCGTTCACCTCCATTGCTCACCAGACAAGTATGTGCTGATTCTCGGAGAACTCTCACCCAGTTTACAGCCTGCGATTTGCACGCTGGCCGCTGGCCTGGCTGCGGTCCTCGCGCCGTGCCCTGCATACGGTGGGCCCTTGAGGCATATTTGCTCGGTGACTGAATGAAACGGGAATGAGCTCGTTTGTTTGGCTTGGATCAGGAGTGGCCGAGAGAAGGTGGGATGAAGGGGGGGTGCTGAGGTTGGGAGGAATAGGAGCCCATAAGCCCTGTGTGTGCCCGTGGTGGCCGTGTCTCAGCGGCCCACAGGGATAAGAGCAGGGGGTTGTGTCATCGCTGGGGAGGGACACAGGCCCTGTGGAGGAACAATAAACTGGTCCAGGGTTGGGGATTCCCGCCAGAGTGGCAGGTGGGAGGTGAGGAGTCATTCGATTTGCTCTTTATATAAAAAATGCACTTGAAGTCCTATCAGAAATGCAATTCTTCCTTTCTTTAGCCTCCGGCCCTTTCCTTGAAAAAAGGATAATCAATGTACAGTAAATCTCTAATCTTAAGTGCACAGCTTGATAAATTTTCACACACGTGCATGTGTTAGTCTGCTTGGGCTGCCATAACAAAACACCACAGACCGGGGGCTTCAAGAGCAGACATTTATGTTCTCACGGTTCTGGAGGCTGGGAAGGTCCAGCAGCGTCGGTTCCTGGTGAGCATTCTCTTCCTGGCTTGCCTTCTCCCTGTGTCCTCGCATGGTCTTTCCTCGGGGCGTGCACAGAGAGAGAGAGAGGGAGGGAGGGAGAGCTCTCTGGTGTCTCTTCTTAGGACATTAATCCCATCACATCAGGGCCCCGCCCTTCTGACCTCATTTAACCTTAATTACCTCCTTAGAGGCCCCATCCCCAAATACAGCTGCCTGGAGGTTAGGGCTGCAACATTTGGGGGATGCAGTTCATTCCACAGAATACATATAGACCTGTGTAACTCCCACCACGTCAAGTTCGTGACTATTTCCAGTGCCCCAGGAGGCTCCCTGGTAGCCCCCAAGTGGCCACCATTCTGACATCTCTCCCCATTGTCTGTCCGTCTGGTTTGTACCCTCCTGTGAATGGACAGGAGAGACATACCCTCCTGTGCCCCAGTCTTCTTCTCAACACCGTGTCTGCGAGTCTCGTCCATGTATCTCACGTTTGGTGGGCCTTTCCTTTTGATTTCTCCGTGGTATCCACCATGTCCACAGCCTCTTCTTCAAAGGTCCAAGCCCCTGGCCGTGCAGTGCACAGTCACAGGCACCGGGCATGTGGGCAGTGGCTGAGAGGGAGGGCTCGGCGGCGGTGTCTGGGCTCAGATCCCTGTGGGCAGGCTCGAGGGATGAGGGGTCTCGTACTGTGGCGTCCTTGTGTGTGAGGGGTCTCTTACTTCACGGGGCTGCTGGGAGAGTAGGGAGAGTGTCCGTGGGCAGGACGTTGGCACAGGCCCGGCACCAGCCAGCACTCAGTAGACGCTAACCCGAGCGTTAGTGCCCCAGGCATGACCGAGTGTGGTTTGTCTTTGAGGAAATACGGAACCCTAGACATGCTGGGGGAGAGGGTCCAACCCATTTGGGGGCCCAAGTCTGTAGAAACCCACTGAGGCTTGCCCGGCACAGGATAGGCAGTGAGGCACTCTTGGACCCCTGGCCATGGTCTATGTGGGGAGAGTCCCCACAGCCTGAACGTCCAAGCAGAGGTGGTCAGCTGAGTAGGGTCTGTGGCACCATCATGATGTGATGTGACGGGCCCCCGCCTGCCCTCCCTGGGCCTGAGGCCCACGTGGCCCTCGGTGATGCCACTCTGCTATTTTGAGCCGTCGGAGGGCAAACAGAGAGCATGTTTTCTGCGTTTGTCTTCCGGCCAACACCAGCAGGACCCCTCCCTGGCCTCCCTGGAGAGCCGTCAGAAAAGTCACCGGGACAGGCCTGTTGATTTAGCAAACGCTCAGAGCGTGGGGCCTGCACCAGGCCCAGGCCCCAGGCTGCGGGCATCCACAGTCACTCCCTTTGTGCTCACAATAGCTCCCGCATGACCCCATCACAGACGAGGGGACAGAAGCTCAGGGCTGAGGGGAGTTGGCGGGGGGTGACACAGCTGGCAGGGCCAGAGTCCCACCCAGGGAGTCTGCTCCATACTGCCTGGCTGGAGGAGGCTGGGGCCAAGCCTGGCCTACCAGCGAGGCCCCAAATCTCTCTCCTGAGTGAACAAATGGATGACTGGGCTGACCACAAAGGAAGCTTCTAGAACAAATCACGGAGACTGGTCCCAGTCACTCACTGTTGCAACTTGTGCTGCCAAAGGCCCAGGTACTGTGAGAAGGGCTTGGGAATCCGCTCACCACCTGCTGCCTGGCCCCTGGAGAAATCTCACCCAAAGGCCTCCGGTTTTCCTGGCCTTGGAACTTCAGAGGGAGGTGAATGGTGCCCGGGGTGCCCCCAGGGACCTTGGTCCCAGCCCTGAGAGCAGAGTGTGGTCAAAGGCTCTGAGCCCCAGAGCCTGGGTTCAAATCCCAGCCCCTCCACTCACTCTCTGTGTGACCTTGGACAAGTCACTTAACCTCTCTGAGCCTCAGTTTCTTCCTCTGCACAAGGATTGAATTCCAGCACGTCCCTCCTGGGGTGCTGGAAGAATGGAGTGACCAGGCCACGTATGTGGTTAGAGCTCAGGAAACACGAGGTGCTCCCTGGAACACGCTGACTTTTACTCATTTGAGAAATGGCTTAAAATGGGGTCCCAGCAGCTTTCTAGGGCTGGGGTCGGGGGTGCCTGACAGTGTTCAGAGTTGTGTGAGGGGGGCAGCATGGGTAGATGTGGGGCCAGTGGGGTGTAGGCACAGACTAACACAACAGGACAAAGGTGCCAGGGACAAGGATGTGTCGTAGCTCCTGACTGGGATTCTTCTAGAATTCTCTAGACTGTGCACAGGAGGGGCCCAGGGCAGCCGCCTTTCCGCCTTTACACAGCGCACACCTTCCTTCCTCTCCGACAGTGTTGGAGAGGGCCCGGAATGGAGAGAGCAGCGGCCCCTGGGCCCCGGGGTCGCGGCCCCTCTGACAGTGTCTCTGGTCTGTCTTCAGGGGGAACTGGATTGGAGAAGCCCCCTACAAAAACGGCCGGCCCTGCTCCGAGTGCCCGCCCAGCTACGGCGGCGGCTGCAAGAACAACCTGTGCTACCGAGGTAGGAGATGACTTCAGAACCGTGTGGGACGGGTCTCCCCCAGGTCTGTGAGTCACAGAACACGGGAGAATGGGCCGAGAGTCCGGCCCCCTACCCCCCACCCACGCAGCACCTGGGCGGCCCTGCAGGCCCCGCCCTCGGCCTCGTGCTCGTGATGAGTGGGGCTGCATCTCCAGATGGGGGGCTCAGACCCAGGCTCCCTGGGGACCCGCACTGCCCCTGGGATGTCCCCCTGGTGGGCATCTGCCCTGGGCGGCGTGGACTCAGACACGGCCCTGCCTTGTGGGTGCTCGTGGTTTGGTAGAAAACAGACGATGCGCAAGGAATAAAAATGAACGACACGCCTGTGACGGGGCCAGGCGAGCTCCAGGCCGGGCAGGGCTGTCCCTCGTGGTTAGGCGCCTTCCTGCCCGGCCTGTCCCCCTGCCGCCACCACCCACCTTTGCATCTTGCTCCTCCTTCGCCCGATTTGTGGCAAACGTCGGCAATGCCTTTCTGCCACGGCTCAGACAGGCCTGGCGCGGTCGGGCTTTGCGCCTGGTTTCCACCCGCTCCGCCGCTGGTCTGCTGTCGGCCACTCAGGACGTTTCCACTTTCCCCGCTGCTATAAATAATGCACGTTTTTCGTGCCTGAAGCGTTTCTCACCTTTTGGAACATTTCCTCGGGCCGTCCCAGAAGGGGCGCAGCTGGGCCAGAGGGGCTGACCATGTTTTTGTGGCCGAGGTGTGTTTTCTCACGGGGCTCTGTCAACAGGCCGTGTGAGGGCTGAGAGGCCCCTTTCAGGAGGGCTGGCCGGGCGGGAGAGAGCAGCCCCCAGTACCGGGCCTTCCCTGCCAGTGGGGTCGTGGGCTCAGTGCTGCGGGCTCCGGGGGGTGCCGAAGGTGAGCTGGAGCAGGGGTCCCAGACCCTCTCAGGCAGCGCCTCTTCCTTGTCTTCGAGAGGGGGCTCCCCACGCCCGTCTTTAGTGAAATCTTCCTGGCTCTCCCCCCTCTGATGCCTGAATCCCTGAGACAAGCGTGGGTTTTGAGTCCGGCACACCTGCTTTAAGAATATCAACTTGCCACGTTCCAGGGGTGGGACCCTGGGCCGGTGACTTCGTCCCCTGGCCTCAGCCTTCCCATCTGAGAATGGGGGTAATTGTGTCAACCCCCAGGATCTTGGGAGGACTAAGAGAAGACCACAGGTTGAGGTTGACACTCAGGCCCGTCAGGTCCCCTCCCCGTGTTCCTATTCAGGCAGGTCCTGTGGCTGCTGTCCAGTCGCCCAGAAGGGTCAGAAGGGTCAGGTCCTGAGTGGCGATTTGGGGACCGAGAGGGAGGGATAACATCGGGCTTCTCCTTGGGTCTCCCATTGTTCTTTGCTCAAACCTAACACGTCGCAGTGCTGCTTTCAAAGCACATCGGCCCCTCCAGGAGGTGGGGCTCTGTGAGCACAGCTAGAGCTGTCCAGGTGGAGGGCAGGCAGAGCGGGGTCGTCTCTACCCTTCCTGCTGTGTGTGCTCGGGCATACTGCTTGCTTTCTTCAGCCTCAGTTTCCCCATCTGTAACAGAGACAACAATGGTCCTCCCACAGAACGTTTGCTGGGAGGACGCAGGGAGAAGGATGTGAGTTGCTAGCACAGTAACCTGCACATAGTTAGTGCTTTATCAACACAGCTCATTAGCTCCTTGGAGAAGTGGGGGCGGAGAGGTAGGACTGCACTTACCACCTTGCCCGGGATCCTTTATCGCCTAGTGGGGGCCGTTGGCCTTCGCCCAGCCTGGGGCCCTCATCCATCTCAGGAACCCGGCAGACTCCTTCTCCTCCTTGGAAACACAGCTCTGGCATCACACCTCCTCCAGGGAGCCTTCCCTGACTACACAGACAGGCAGCGCACCCGCCTCCATGCTCTTACTGCACCTAGACTCTCCTCGAACCCTGATCACCTGTTGTTACAACTGCCGGTTCCCTGTGGGGCCTCCAGGGGCACGTCGCAGGTGTGTTCTGCATGTCGTCTGAATACATAGACCCCCAATACCCACAGAGGGTTATTTTAAAAGAACAAATACCCTCAAAGATACCTTAGATGCTGGTTTACGCACCCAATGAAGCCTCTGTACTTGTTTCTTTATTTTTCGTGGAAAATGCCCAACTTCACTTGGCCGGCATCCCGATTTTCTTAGCTAACCATGCAGAAGGTCTCCTGTGAAGCAGCTTATCTGCATAAGCTCCTTAAGTGCTCTTGAGGGTGCCTGGCAAGGCCTTGACCTATAATAGAGATGGAGCAAGGCTAAGGACAGACTGTAAGAGCCGTCACCGTCCATCCAGCCTTTCACTGTGTGACGGTGAAGGGCGTGGCTTCGGGGAAAGGCAGTTTCACTCTCAGCTGTGTGAGCTTGGGCAGGTCGCTTAGCCTCTCTGAGCCTCAGTTTCCTCATCTGTGAAATGGGGCTGACCATGCCTCCTAGGGCAATGAGAGGATGACACGAGAGCATGCCAGGGAAGGGCCGAGCCGGCGGGTGATCATTTGGTCCCTGTTCAGTCAACAGCTCAGAGCTTTGTTACCACTTAGAGAACCAGCTGGGAATCTGCAGAGCGACGTAAGCAATGCAGTGTGCCCCGGGACCCCGGTGCACAGCTGGATAGTCACCGCGCAGTGACCTCGGGCACGGAATTTCCCCAGGCCTGCGCTGGTCCGCACGGGGGCTGTCCATTAGGATGTGCTCTAATATGCCCGTCCTCCAGGTGAGCAGCCCCGTTTTCACGTGTGCGTCTGAGGGCGAGGACTGTCTGCCCGTTTTCTCAAATAGCGAGCCCTCAAGTGCTGTAGAATGCTTCACCGAACTATATTCGGCTAAATAAAGCCTCGATTATGAGGTATAAAAAGCCTAAAGGGCAGTGGAAGAAAACCCAGCTTATTCCAGAGACAGCTCTGGCTTTCAGTGAAGGGCGAACCTGAATAGCCGCATTGACGGGCAGAGCAGACCAGAGACCGCCGCCGGGTGCCAACCAGCCATGCAAACCCAGTGTCTTCGTAAAGATTTCACCTATAGCATTTGGCTACAAATGGTGCTTTCAGAATTCCTTTCTTGAATGTCTTTAAACTTCGCTGGGACTTTTTTTTTTCCAAAAGAATTTAAAGACAGAATTCTTTGGGGGTTTTGATTATCCTTCCTTCAGTGAATTTTGTTGAGCAACTACCGTGTGCTGAGAGCTGGGTGTCCTGGGGGCTGTGACGCGGGCTCGCTCCCGGCCTCGGGGAGTTTGCAGCCGCTGGAAGAGGCAGGTGGTGGTGAAGTCACCGGGGCGTGCTGCCCGAGAGCAGAACATGGTCGTCCGCGAGCCCTCCTGAGAGTGGAGTTGGGGCTCGGGGTTGCCGTTCACCTCCCGGCCTCAATCCCATCCATGCTCCTCTGGGACTGGGTTAGCCTGAGGAGTGGCTGTGGGGCAGTGGATCTGCCAGAGAATCAGCTTCCGAGTATCCCAGCCTCAAAAGGCATCCGACAACCACTCATTTGCCCTTCGTTTGGATGCTAGTGTAGTATAGACACGACACACCTGGTCTGCCCCTAGAGAAGAAAGGTCACTGCTCTGAAGGGGATGTGGGAATAAGGCTGGGGGGTTGACGACCACCTGATGGGATTTGAATTTGAATCCAGTGACACAGAGAGGCCTGCGAGGGGGCTCCCTTCCTCCCCCTTGACGTTGTCCTCACCCATACACACTTAACGGTCTCTCTCACTGGAGGAGCTCAGAAGGCGGGGGCTTCCAACTCTGGTCCGCAGACATCTTCGGGGAAGCTGTGAAGATGAAAAGGGGCCCCAGCGGAGACGCACATCAGTTCGTGTTTGATAAGGCCACTCAAGCAAATGAAAATAGCAATATTTTCTTTGTTTTGGCTGGAATTTACAGTTGGTATCCTGGGGGGGGGGCCTGATTACAGATTCTGGTGGGCAGTTAATAGTTGTCTTTCATGATGAAAACTGGAAGATAAATCAACTGAATAAATGCAATTTGCTTGGTTAATTAAAATATTTTCAAACTTGGGGGTCCTGGTCACGGATGGAGAAACAATAACATTTGGGTGGGGAAAAGATTGGGACCCAATGAACTAACTTTTTTTAAACCGGGAGTTGGGTCTTTGCTGCTCCCTGATGGACCCGATGTTATTGGGCAGCAAACTTCAGTGCCGAGAAAGGAGTTGAGCTGGTTCAGTGATGTGGCTTGTGGGAGTGGAGAAGGCAGCAGAAAGTGCTGGTGGCGAGGTTAGGTGGGGTCCAGGAGCATTGAGCACAGAGGGTTGGGTCTCCGTGCCCCATGAGGAGCACGTCAACAGGAAAGACCCCTCCCCCAGTGAAAACCTAGGTCCAGAAGGACCTCCAGGGAGAAGCTCCAGGCTGGGCTCAGAGGATGAGGCAGGGGGTGGGTGTGCAGGAGGAGGTGGACAAGGAACTGTTATGATGATCCAGGAGTGGGCGCGGAGCCTTCTGACCTCCGGTCAGCCCAGCTGCTCTCGGGTCCAGAGCAAACAGAGTCAGCCGAGCGCCCATCCATCTCCTCGGCTGGGGGAGTCCCACCTGGCCAGCTCTGCTCTGAAATGTAACTTTCTCTCTCTGCCGCTGAAATGACTCTTTGTGAAACCAAACCTCAAACAGCTTTAGTTTCCAAATTGCTTTTTTTTCCCCAAAGTGCATTTTGTTGAATCCCAGCATGTTATTTTTTTCTCCCTCTCCACTTATTAAGAAGAGACTTACGACCAAAAGCCTGAAACGGACGAGATGAACGAGGTGGAAGTGGCCCCCATCCCTGAAGAGAAGCACGTCTGGGTCCAGCCGAGGGTCGTCAGACCCTCGAAGCCCAAGAAGACCCCTGCCGTGAACTACATGAGTGAGTGGGCTCCCGCCTCTGTCCCGGCCTGCCCTCGGGCCGCCTCTGCAAGGGGGCCGTTTGCTTTGGGGTGGGGAGGAGGGCAGCTGGTGGGTTGAGAGGTCTCCAAACAGTGGGCAACAGGGTGGGGTGGAGTTTGCAAAAGCACAACCCTAAGACATTTTTTAAAAATGGTATTTTTAAGTCATTTTAAAAGCAAGTATTCTGGGAGCTGTGTTTGGGTGGCGTTTTTTCCCCCCAGGCCAGTATTTAAGGTTAGACCTTGTCCTTTCAAAGGGGACCTGGGCTGAAACTGGGTTCCTTTTTGAAGCGCCGGCCTCCCCGAGGGAGAGCGCGGAGGGCTTCTTCCCCACGTGCCGGCCCTGTGACTGGACCGGCACTCGACAATTTGAGACTCCATTTGCTCATCCACAGAGTGAGGGCAGTAATGGCTGTACGGGCTTGCTATGAGGATTCTTTGCAGTAATGTTGGCCACCTGTGTCACTGAGATCTCCCTGTACTGTGAGATCGACGCCAAGTTGCCTCCCACAGCCACCTCAGCAGGAAGTCCCCAGAGGCTGAATGCTCTCATGCTGGCCTCTTGGCCCCTCTCCCGTCCCCTGGTCTCCTAGTGCACCTCCCTCCCACTGCTTCCTTCTCTCTGCCCTCACCTGCCCGGCTGGGACGCAGCATCCGATTTGCCCCATGCTGCTCATGGGCACCTGTGTATGCAGCGACTTTACTGACGGTTGGGGGCTCTGGAGGGGCGTCGTCTCACAGACACGGCAACAGGCATGGCTGTTTACCCGTGGGTCCCTGTTTTCCCCCTCAGCCTCAAACAGCATCAAACTGGCCTCACTCCCATGTAGGGGCCCAGCTCCTGCCCATCTTTCTCAGAAACCTTCTCCTGGTTTTTCGACTGCTCTCTCCCCCACCCCCACCAGTCTCTCTGTCCTCTTGGACCTTCGAGTGTCTTTCGCCCAGAATCTCCACCTGTTTGATCATTCTGTAGCCTTCTTTGACCAGGAAATATGCTGCTGCTCTTGTCTGTCTAGAAGTTCGAAATGGTTCCATTGGGTTTTTTAAATAATGTAAAATTACAAAATAATATGTCCTTTTGTCAAACTATAACACTGCTCCAAGATTCTGATATGTCCCTATCAAATAAACAAAAAAATAAGGCTTGGCAAGGTCATCTTGGCTCTGGGGGAGGGGAGACAGGTGAGAATGGCCAGGTCCCTGCCTCACAGGCTGGATAAGGCTTGTAAGTCCCGCCCTCCAGAACCCTATGGGGCTACAGGGCACTTGGTGTGTGCCACGCTCCCTTCCAAGGCAACATTTACTTTCTCATTTAGTGCTCACAGAAACAGTACCCACCATACTTATCCCGTTATTCATATGCTGAAATTGAACCTTGGAGAGGGGAAGTAACATGTCCAGGGTCACATGGGTACTGTAAAGTGGTGGATCTGGCATTTGAACCTCACAACTGAAGCCTGCAGCCATTGGGCAATGCTCCTGCTCTCGTGGTGGCATGGATTCCAGAATGTTCCAGAAAGTTCCTCAGAGTGGGGGTGGGGTCTTCTAACTCAGACTCATCCTCCTGCTTCTTGCTGTGATGTATATTTCTGCATTTCTCTCCTAGCCCAAGTTGTCAAGTGTGACACCAAGATGAAAGACAAGTGCAAAGGGTCCACGTGCAACAGGTAAGGTCTGGGCCGGATCCCTCCCTCACCGCTGCCTAGCCCTCTGAAGCTCCTGCGGTGCCATATGGTCGTGTCGTGATGAGTCAGTTGATGGCCACCCAAACCAAGCGGGGTAGAAACTCGTGGAAAAATGGTGTCCTCTACTTTTAACACAAAAGTTGTGCCAGGTTGAGCAGGAAGGTAACTCAGCTTGCTTCGTGTCATGAATTAGACTGACCACAACATCTCAGAGTTTCCTCTGACCGCCACCATCCATTATAATTAATGGATCAAAGATGATCCATTTCCATCAACCTAGACCAGGGATTCCCCACCTTGCCTCTGCCGACATTTAGGGCCAGGTGACCTTTGCTGTAGGGCTGTTCTGTGCACTCTAGGATGTTGAGCAGCATCCTTGGCCTCTGCCCACTAGATGCCAGGAGCGCCCTCCCCACTAGTTGTGACGACCCAAAATATCTCCAGACATTGCCCAGTGTCCCCTGAGGGGTAAAATTGCCCCCAGTTGATAACCTTTGACCTAGAGAGTTGGCCTAAGCTCTGGGTCTCTTGCCTGGGCATATATTCCAGTGAAGTGTTTCATCCCTAGTGGGGAGGAGGTGCCTGAACTACAGATGCTCTGGGTTATTGGTTCAAAAGGAATTCCCAAGGTGTAGGAGTGCCAGATGTGCCAGAGACGTGAAGATCTTGACCAATGTTTTTACGTGGTTGGGGGCTCCATTCCACCTTTGTGTGTGAAGGTGGGCACAGGGTGGCCCAGAGTGCCGTGCAGGGAGGATGAGGGTGGGGGCAGAGTGGGGCGTGTGTGAGCCGCATTGTTGACAGAGCCAGCAGGACTTCCGTAGAATCTGAGCAGGCCAGCTTCCCCATGGGCCCCACCGGAGGAAGAGCTGCCAGTGTCTCCTCCGCAGTTGAATGAATTCATCTAGTGGATGGAGTCATTTAGCATTGTCCATTCAGATGGTGAGGAACGTCTGCCAAGAGGAGCGAGTTGGGTTTTGGCAGGGCAGCTGCTGGGCTGCTCTTTCTGGCAGCGGACGGCCAACAGGTGCAGGGGCGTCGTGCAGAGAGAGCCTCAGGGTCACGGCAGGACAGCCGTGCCGTCAGTGCAGAGGCCTTCCTCGTCCTCCTGTGGATTCTGGCATCTGCTCGTCTAAAGCCGGATGGCGTGCTTTAAAGCACATGCTGAAAAGAAGAGAGAGTGGGTCCTAGTTTATCCCGTGGGGATTTGGAATTCGGTCTGCCACAAGAACGCTTCGCTCGGACTTTGCAGGAGTGGGAAGAAGTAGACTGAGCAACCCAGGATGGGGTTCACACATCGTCCCATGAGCCGCTGGCGATGGGCCAGCAGGTCCTGCAAAAATAAAACCAGTCGATCTGTTGGTGAGATGGGCAAGATATGGGAATGATGGGTGGTGGAGTAGCTGTCGTGTGCACCATCTTCTGGAAGGGGTATCTGCTCTGCAAACTCACGGGTCTGAAATTTTCGGAGTGCTCTGGGCTTGTCCTTTGTGAGGATGGGTCTCTGAACCGCAAGGTTGTCATGAGAGTATCACCCCTGCTGAGCTCTCAGTGGGAAAAAATTACAGTTTGGAGAACATCCTTTGTTAGATAGCATCAAGAGAGTTCCAGAGTTGAGGGTGGATGGGACGCTCCCCAAGCAGGGAGAGGACAGGGGTCGGCCACACGAAGACTGTTAGAGGCCTCCAATCAAGAAATGTAGGGGCTGGCCCCGTGGCATAGTGGTTAAGTTCTGCGTGCTGCACTTCGGGAGCCCGGGTTTGTGGGTTCAGATCCTGGGCGTGGACCTACACCATTCATCAGCCATGCTGTGGTGGTGACCCACATACAAAATAGAGGAAGATTGGCTTAGATGTTAACTCAGGGCTAATCTTCTTCAAGCAAGAAAAGAGGAAGATTGGCAACAGAAGGTAGCTCAGGGGGAATCTTCCTCAGCAAGAAAAAAAAAGAAAGAAAAAGAAATGTAACCCACCTGACCTGCAAACACAAGAACACCCCCAGGCTCTCTCCTAGAAGCTTTCCACCACCCAGGACATCAGTTTTTTGCACACAGTGCTTTTGCAAAAATAACATTCACTGGGCTTTTTTTTTTCTGACTTTAAAGGTATTTTTGTTCATTGTAAGTAATTCAGGAAAACAACAACAACAAAAAAGCATAAAAAAAATAAGTGTCCCAGAATCTCCTCAATATGGGCAGCAATTTGGTATAGTTCCCTCCAGTCTTTTTTCTGTGCACCAATTAGGCCGACGCTGCTTATGAGATCCTGTGTGTTATTGTTTTCACTTAAGATTTCCCGAAGTCAGTAAGTATTCCTCAAAAACTTCATCTCTGGTGGCTGTACAGGCCTCTGACGTATGGCTGCACGAGAACGTTTGGCCATTCCTTTGACCCCTGCTGGCATATTTCCAGTTTTTCATAATTATAAACAGTTGGAATAACGTAGGCTGACATTCTGACTTTCTGTTTGGGATATGCACTAATAAGGGAGGCTGAAGAATAAAAGGTTATGAATTTTTAAGGCTTTCTGGAAAGAGTAATTTATACTTTTTCATGAACGTGAACACCATTATTGGGTTTGATTCTATTGAAAAATCCTTACAATTTGCCACCTAGAAAATGGCATCTCCTTTCAGTTTACACTTCTTCGATGACTGACATGTGAGGATTTTTTTTTTTGGTGCCTTTGAAGCCACTTGTCTTTCTTCTGTGAATTGTCTGTCTATTCATATCTCTGCCTTCAACTCGAATCTTAAACACGTGAAAATAGTCTCTAAGAAGGTCAAATAGGGCCGGCCCCGTGGCTTGGTGGTTAAGTGTGCGCGCTCCGATGCTGGCGGCCCAGGTTCGGATCCCGGGCGCGCACCGAGGCACCACTTCTCCGTCCATCCTGAGGCTGAGTCCCACATACAGCAACTAGAAGGATGTGCAGCTATGACACACAACTATCTACTGGGGCTTTGGGGGAAAAAAAAAATAAATAAATAAAAACCTTTAAAAGAAGGTCAAATAGAATCTTTAATTATGTTCATGGGACTATAAACTTCAGCCTGGGTAAGTTGTGTCTTGCTCAAAAACAATGGATTCTACATCACTGAAGCTTTTCTACATGTAATAATAGAGCTATTGAAGAAAAAATTCTATATGTAATAATAGAGCTATTGAAGAAAAAATTCATGGTGAGATTTAATCAACATGTTTGCCTCTGAAAATCGCTCTCTCTTCTCCATCAGGTACCAGTGCCCAGCAGGCTGCCTGAACAACAAGGCGAAGATCTTTGGGACTCTCTTTTACGAAAGTGTAAGTTTTGGGACTCTCTTTTACGAAAGTGTAAGTGTGACCACTATTTCTTTAAATGGCTTGTGGGACCCCCGACGTGCGTTTTTAAAGAAGGCTGGTGGTTTTCACGTGCAAAGATTTCCTTTCCACTCCTGCGTCCAACCCTACGTTCCTAGAGCTTCTCCGTGCGTAGTGATGGGCTCACAAACTTGTGAAGCCGCTTTTGGGATCCAGGGCTGACCCTCACGGAGACCAGTCTCCCCTTAGCCGGAGCGTTAACATGCTCCATTGGATGGGGAGAAAGGGCTGTTTGTCACCGTTCTCAGTTGGTAAAGCACCTCGGATGGGTTTTTTAAGATAAGCAAGCCCAGGAACAAAGACGTGTTCCAGAGAGAGGTCAGGGTCAGAAGTGGGGTGGGCTTTGGCCCGACTCGTTGGCTTTCTGTGGGTTGAGGACAAACGTCTCCATATTTCTGAGAAAGGTTGTTCACAAAGATGAATTCAGATGTACTTACATCTTACCCCGCCTTCCTCAGGCGTCCAGCATCTGCCGGGCAGCCATTCACTACGGCATCCTAGATGACAAAGGGGGCCTGGTGGACATCACCAGGAACGGGAAGGTCCCCTTTTTTGTCAAGTCTGAGAGGAACGGTGTGGAGTCTTTGAGGTAACTATTCTGTGATCAGCGTTCCTTAAAATGTTTGTTTCTGGTTATGAAAGTATTGTCAAAACTTTGAAAAGTACTGAACGATGTGAAGCAGGAAAAAATAGAGATGACTTTCATCCCATAACCCAGAAATCGCCCCTATAGGCAATTTAGCATATTTCATTCCAGTGTGTGTGCATGCGTGTGTGTGCGCATGCGTGTGTGCATGCGTGTGTGTGCGCATGCGTGTGTGCATGCGTATGTGTGTTTCATTTGGTTGAGTTCTGAATCTTGCTCTTTCTCCCTTCCTAGTCACCGAGAGCTCTTCAGACACATCATCGTTAATGGTTGATGATGTCCTTAAGTTTGTAGGCTAATTCTCCATTAGCACTTTTTCTTACTTCCTGAGAATGAGGCTTTTCGTTTTTAAAATACACTACTTTTTTTGGCAAGATATGCTTTTCATGTAAGGTATGTGGATGGATGATGGGGCAGACCGTCCTCGCCATTCTGACTTTTTGGGGAGCAGTGGGGGAGGCCTTGAAGAGCGGCAGGAGGCCATGTCTTGATCTGTCCGTGGAATCAGAGGCATAAGGTGACCTGGGAGCACGGAGCCCAATGGGGACCGTGGGGTCAAAGAGACATGGCTCCACCTCTTCCCTGTGCATGACCTCCGGCCAGTTCCTTTACCTCTTCTGAGTGGCAGTGCCCTCGTTGGTAAATGAAGGCCACAGTAGGACCAGGGCTGACACCCAGCTAATTGACAGTGGGACAGCGTGTCAGGATCCCCGTGTCAGGTGCCCACCCCAGGGTCTGTGACAAGGGAAGCACCAAGCAAATGCTTCTGCGACTGTTACAAAGTAGCATGTCCCGTCCGAATTGTGGGGCCGCTAAGAACATTTCAGAAACCGCTGAGTCACTGCCCTTTGAGAGGTGTCGTTCTCCAGGTGGTGCTGCAGTGTCGCCTCCTCGGGACAAGGGGTTATGTAAACAAACCAAGAGCAAGGAAGTCTAAGTGAAAGCACAGAAAGTGTGCGTGGAGATGTCACTGGGGCAACCTCGACCCCGGCCTTGCCGGCACTGGGGGCTTGGCTGGGTTCAGACCCTGCATTACCTGGGACGCTTGTCCTGGAGCCATTTCTGGTCCCTTCCAATGGCCAACTTTGCCTCTATAGTGGGGTTCTTCACCTTTTAGCACCCAAGGAGTCTCTGAACATCAATGCAAGGCAAATTAAAGCTTTATTTTCACTAGCCTCTAGTTGACGTGTAGTATTTCCTTCTGTTATGGACGTTGGCCCCAAAGCCGAGTGGCGTTAGTAGGGCTGGTGACTCTCTCACTGGTGGAAATCCTCTCGCTGCTGACGTCTCGACACACCGTCTCCACTGTCATTACTCTGAAGTGACAGTAGTGAGAAGACCCGCCTCTGGATTCGGTTTTAATGCGTTAACGAAGAAGTACCTCTGTCCTCTAACGCAAATTTGTTGTAATGTTTTGATAGTGATATTACTAAATAACGATTTCCTTTTAATCTTTTAAATTTGTGTGCATTTTAAAATCATTATTCTGAGAAGGGGTCCTCAGTCTTCACCAGGCTGCCTGAGGGGTCCTTGGCACTAAGAAGGTTAACAAGCCCTGCTCTAGAATGTTCTCATTCCAGATCTTCCTCTAGAATGTTCTAAGAACTTTCAGGCTGATGGGAAACGAGTGGGAAAATGTACAGTTGAGGTTGTACGTAAGGAGCCAGCGTGCACTGGAAGCAGTTCTGTTTGCATTTACCTACTGTTTTCTTTTGCAGCAAATACAAGTCTTCCAGCTCCTTCACGGTGTCAAAAGTGAAAGGTAAGCTGGCTGGTCTTTTCTTATGTGACCGTAGTACCCGGGTTTCTTCAGTGTCCGTGGAAATTGCATTCCCCTTAGTTATTGATTTCATGGTTATCAAGCTGGCTAACGTTGCTGTTCTCAGCACTGTAGGCACTTTTTTAAGAGGTTCTTTCAAGAGATTCTTGAACTGGTTTCTAAACATATCTGAACTTGGCATTGGCCCTAGATTGCTAAACCAGAAACACAGGCCTGGGGTTCCCAGCCAAATGTTGCAGAAATACTAATGCCTGGGTTTAGAGTAGCTCATAAGTTGCATTGGGAGCATCAATTTCTATTGATTGATAGTGGCTCCCTGGAGCATTGTGTTGAGAAGGATTCTGAGGCCTCATTCTGGGTTTGGCAGAAAACAGAGCTTCATAGATTAGAAATGTCTGCCATGGACAAGAGAGGGAAACGTGGGGAAGTATGTGGCACATATGAAAAAAAGACTTGACCTAAATTCCACCACCCAGAGATAACCACTCTGAACATTTTGGTGGATATTTTTACAGTTTATTTTCCCTATGTATTAAGAGTATATACGTTGGTAATAGATACATTGATATACTTTTAAAAAGCGAAATGGAATTACATAAGTTTGGTAACCTGATTTTTTTTTTTAAATAATAATGCGTCAGGAAGATAATTCTGTGCCTTTAAGTGGTCTTCTAAACCTAATTTTAGTGATTTCATTGTATAGCAGTCCCTTGGTGCCTAGACCAATCCCCTTTGTTGGGTTGCTACATAGATCCCCGGCCCTGCCAAGCGAGAGACTGGACCAGGAGTCTGCAAAAGACCGCCCTCAGGGCCAAATCTTGCCTACCATCTGTTTTTGTAAACAAAGTTTTATTGGCACACAGCCACGCCCATTCACGTACACATGGCTGGTTTCTGCGACAACAGCAAAGTTGAGTAGTTACAACACAAACCACGTATTTACAACAAACCCGGAAATATTTACTCTCTGGCCCAGTAAGAAAGAGTTTGCGGAGCCTGGACTAGAGGAGGACACGCTGTCAGAGACCGCGGTGGCCAGTACAGAACCGCTCTCTTCCCTCCATTGTTTGGACACAACCTGTGACCCTGAAGAAGGGCTCTAGACCCGGAACCTGAAACCTGCGCCCTCACCTGTGTCTCTCAGGGGGGTCTCTTAGCTTTTCTGGACCTCAGTTTCCCATCTGTATAATTAGAACAATACCTGCACAAGGATCCAACGTGATAAAGTAGAGGGAAGGCTTCACAATCAAAAAGCTCTGTGCAAATGAGAAGTATCGTTGGTCCCGCGGAGGAGCGAATGAGGGTGGTAACACCCTTGAACTGTAAAGACACTCAGGCTGTGGGTTTGTCTCGTCCGTGAGTGGCCCCAGGTGAGGGGCCGGGGCACTGGGGCTTGGCCCCTGCTGGCTTCTCACGCCAGCTCTGTTCGAGGGCCCGGTGAACCCCTAGGGCCTGGTTGTCCAGCAGCCCATTTCATAGGTCGGTAGTCTGAGGCCCGGGCTTGCCCCAACCTGACCCTTTCCCGACGTGTTCCTGTCCACAGTGCAGGACCTGGACTGCTACACCACCGTCGCTCAGCTCTGCCCATTTGTGAAGACGGGGACCCATTGCCCAAGGTAAGGCCCGCTGGCGCCTGGTGTTGCACACACGGGGCCTGAGAGAAGAAGGCGCCATGCTGGGTTGGGGACCGTCTCAGGGCAGTGAAGCACAACTGAGTTCTAGAGGTGGGCCTCGTATGTGTCCACCCAGGAAACCAGTCGCTTCATGCTCAAAGTCAAGGGCCCACTAGACCTTGCCCTGAGATGGCTGGTTCTCCAGCTTGGCTGCATGTTGGAATTGCCTGAGGGGCATTAAAAGAACAAATTCCTGGGGCCCCTGCCCTCACCACAGAAGTCCGAATCTCTGGGAGTGGCCCAGCAGGGCATCGACATCTTTAGAAGCTTCTGGGTGAGCCCGTGTGCAGCTAGGCCCCAAGCCCTGCTCTAGGGAGCTTACCTGAGAAGATGGCTTTGTTCCTCTGGATGTTACCTCGACTCGTGGGAGAGAGCGCTTGCACGTGTAGAAATGACTTCATTTGCCTCTAAGCTTCATTTCCCAGGTCCCCTCAGACAGACCTCAAGATTTGTCATTCCCAGTCTCTTAAATCAATCTAGAACTCTGGAAGCTGCTGCTGCCTGTCCCTTTCAGTCAGCTCGTTGATTCTTCTACTTGATCTGTGATATTTTCTGTAGATCACTTTAGAACCAGCTTGTTAAAACGCAGCTTTTCTCAGGTATAATTTGCACACAATAAAATCCACCCAATATAAGTATACGATTCGACATGTTTTGACAAATGTACACAGTCATGCCGGCACCACCACAATCAAGATAGAGAACGTTCTCATCATCCCAGAAAGTTCGCTTGTTGTCAGTCCCCCTGCCTCCATCTCCCACCGTATCCCTGCCAACCACTGATTTCCTTTCTGTCACTGTAATTTTGCCTTTTCTAGAATTTCCTAAAAACGGAGCCGTCACAGTGTGTAGACTTCTGCGTCTGGCTGCTTTCACTCTGCGTGATGCTTTTGAGAGGCGTCTGTCTTCTTGAGCACATCAGTGGTTTATTCTTTCATGTCGCCGTGTGGCGTTCCATCCTGTGGATGTACCATAATTTGTTTGTCTAAGGAGTAGGTTTCAGGTGCATCTGCCAAAACCTTAATTAGCTGATTTTTGGAGGATGATTCATCATAACAAAATATAAAGGGTGTCCTGGTAACATTTGTCTCTGAAGTACCTGTTAGATTCTCTCAGAAGCTGAGTGACGTAGCATCCTGGGAACCCTCATCCTGGGCCTGGAGGCCTGTGGGTTCTCGAAGGGAAAGACTGACTTTAAAACTAGTAGGTGGAGCCCCCCGAGGTGGGAGCAGGGAAAAGCCCCAGGAGGGTGCGGTGAGGGCGGGAGTGGGGGCCCCCGACTCCTCCCCTTTGCTCTCACATTGCCCGTGAGCTTTCTCACCGGCTCCCACTGCCCATCTCCCTTGAACATTCAAGAGGGGATAACAACCTTTTAATAGATTTCCCCACATATTAAAGAGAAGCAGAAGGAAATAATTTCAGAAAATACAAACAAATGAAAAGGAAAACTTGACATAGTGCAAGTATACAAAATATAAGTTTTTGACTTGCCATTCTAAAAGAAAAAAGAACTTTCTTATCCCAATTTTTTTCCTCTATTTTTAAATCTCACACGCACATCCCGTCTCTCCACCCACCCCTACCCTCTCCCCACACAGGACTGTTTCAGCTTCCCAGTCTCTTCGCCTGGCTTTCTTCCCTCCCAGAATCCTGCCTGTCTTGGGGCCAGATGGCTTCTGGCTGCCATTTTGGTTTCTTGGTCCCTGGGCTCCAGGCCATTTGTGCTGTTCCAGATAAAGACAAAAGACCTTTTCTGAATTAAACTCATGCTTTTTCCTGGTTTGGATCTCTCAAACCACCGAGGGTCCACCCATTTCCAATTTGAGGCGCTGTCTTCCTCCCCTGTGCCCACAGTGGGGGGCGGTATGGCGGCTGACACAGTGGTGATCTAACCCTTTCTGCCTCAGGTTATCAACGCCCCCTCCCTGGAATGTTCTGTGACTCACTGAGGTGAGGGCCCTCCACCCTTTCCTCCCCCACACAGGGAAGTGGCCTTTAAAAAAGTCTATTGATTATAATCTCCATAATGTACCCACAGTATGAACTGGCTAACACCCAAGAATGGGAGGTAAAACCACTTACAATCCCATAGTCACCCCTCTTAGATAGTTATTCCCTCTCACCTTGTTGTTTGTGTGTATCTTTTTGTATGGGTTTTTTAAATTCTATATGCACTGTTTAAGAAGAGGGAAAATATCTTCACCACTGCTAGGGTGGGAGAAGTATATTTTTTTTCTTAAAGAGTAAACTATATGGTAGTTTCCTTTCATCTAAGTACTCAAATCTTGAAATTCAAATAGAGGGCCAGCTGTTTCTCAAGAAGTTTTGTTTTCTGCTATCTTAACCATCACACAAATGCTTCTTGTTTTCCAGAGTTCATTGTCCAGCGTACTGCAAAGAAGAGCCGTCCTACTGGGCTCCCGTGTATGGGTCCAACATCTATGCAGATGTGAGTATGCTGGCATTTTCAGTAACCACCTCTCAAAGCCCATTAAGACCTCAGAAACCATGTTCCAAGGTCTGGATTCCAGAAACCGGAGATCTCATTCCTGTGCCTCTAGCTAAATTTAGACCACTCATTTCTGCAACCATTGCCCTAGTTCCCCATTTATAGAGATATTAGTACTTCCACCTATGTACGCAGGTATACCTCATCTTACACAGATGTTTTTGTAGTTTGGTAAGTTGAATCCTGCTTCCCCAACGACGTGCATTTTTAATGTGTAAGCGTTCATGCATCATACACTTCATTTCCCTGGATAGTTAATAATCTTTCCAGCTCTAATGATGCATTTTATAGATACTGGCCCACTCTACTCACTGCATTTCTTTTTGGCTGTGTACAAACTTACCTGGAAGCACACAGAATGCAAATCACGCTAATTTACTACTTGTTAATAACCACTCTTATTACATTGGAGTCTCTTCTTCTGTATCTCCCTCCTAACTTGAGCAAAGAAGCTTTAGCCAGATTTTTCTTAAGTGAATCCTCCAGAACGTAGTCTGTTCCCTCCAGTTACCCAGGGTTTAAGGACATGGTGACCCAGAAGATGTGAATGTGGTCACAGCTCTGCCCAACATGCTGTGCGATCTTCTTGCCAAGTCTTTTACCTCTCTGTAGAATGAGCCAGCTGGGATTTTCTAGTCCAGGGAATCTTCAAGATCTAAAATTCCGTGATTAGATCAGCATCACTCATTTCTATTTTTACTCAGCCTTTTCTCATCTTCATTTTTATGGTTCTCCCCCATCCACCACTGCCATCTTTGCCTCCATCTGCCTTCATTTGTTCCAGTTTCCTGTAAATGTGAGGTCACTGAGTTCTGTAAGGTCAAAACAACCTTCATGGCTAACCTTTTTTCCCCATGACTTTTCTTTCCTCTTTAAATGAGTCTTCTTTCTTCTTAAAAGCTGTTCAGACAAAATCAAGTTTTAAAAGTGTAATGAAGGAGTAAAATAATGTATATCAGTTATTACACTAAATATCTGAGCCAAAGTCTGCTATTAAAAGACAGAGACTTTTATTTTTAAATGATTTAAAAATAAAGGGATAGGCCAAGTGATTCTAACCAAATACAAAGAAACAAAGAAATAAAGCAGGAATGGCAATATTGCTATCTGATAAAGTGAAATTTAAGGTTAAACATGCTGAATGGGACAATGCAATTCATTATGCAGTGGCACAAAAGGTATAATTTATGAAGATGTGAAAATCAAATCTGTATGCACCAAACAACACAGCAGCTAAACATATAAAGCAAAAGAGAAAAAAAGGTTAGAAATGCAAGGAGAACTAGATGAAAATTTAGTATTAATATAAAGCTACCTTTTACTGTGTTTTAGGTTCTTTAAAAACACCATCTCTAGATATTGTTTTCCCAATCTTACAGACAAGGAAAATGAGGCTCGGAATAATCTGCCCCAAATCACACAGCTAGCACATGACAAAGGTGAGACACAAATGAGGGTGTGTCTTGCCTTGGGCTCTGTTCTTTTCCTGCTCTATTCTGCCTGGTTTAGTGTACCTTCACTCATAATCACACTGATGTGAACAGGCATGTGGGTGAAAACCTATATGCAGGCTTTGGCTGACTCGTCCACCCGAGTTTTAAGCTTTTGGGACCACAGTGCCCATGACAGGGCTCGGTACACAGTAATTGTTCAATGAACGTTTGTTGAAGGAATAAATACGTGGAGATACTATAGTGGTCAGTGCTTACACGGCTCTCCAGAAAATATAAGAGGGAAGGAATAAAGAAAGAGAAAAAGAGAGAGGGAGAGTGGGAAGGAAGGAGGGAAGGAAGAAAGCTACCTCCATTTCAGAGGTTCTTTTCTGGCCTTGGTTTCTAGGTCACTCTGTATTCTGGGAAATGATGATGTCTTTTGGAAAATGTCTGTTTAGCTAAGAGATTTATTTTGGGAGAGTTGTCTCCAGACCTTCGAAGGGCCTAATAGTGCCGGCAGTTCCCGCCTGCTCACCCAGGGTGAATTACTTGGCAGACCCCGCACTTTGTGGTGAGCTGCAGGCAGGAGGAGCATCAGGGTGGAGCCCGAAGAGCAAAGGCTGGGCCAGAAGACGCGGGTTGAAGCCCCAGCCCTGACGTTTACCAGTTGTGGGATGGTGGGCAAGCCTTTCCTCCCCTTTCTTATCTGTCCTTCCTGTCTCCCCGGGTGGTTGGATAAGTTCTCACACTTGCGTGTGCATCAGAATCCCCCAAGGCCTTGTTCAAACAGATTTCCGGGTCCCACCCCCCGGTGTTTCTGACTCAGAGGGTCTGGGGTGGGGCCACAGAATCTGCATCTTTAACAAGTTCCCAGGCGACACTGATGCTGCTGGTCTGGGGACCAGACTTCGAAGACCACTGGGTTAGAGATGACAGTCCCTTGAGAATTTTTGATAATGGTGATGGTGACAGTGATGATTATGGTGGTGGTATTTGTCTTATTAACTAACATCTATTTAGCACTTACTGTGTGCAAGCCTGCATTCAGCCGTTGACCTTATTTAACCTTCACGATAGCCCTTTGAAGCTCTTCCTGTCCCATGCAGAACAGTGTACAGCTTGCTGGCTCTGGGGGGCAGTCCTGGCTCTGCTGTTTGCCAGCTGAGTGATTTGGGGCAAGTCATTTAACCACCCTGAGCCTCAGTCTGCCATCTGTTAGGAGGGAATAATAATAATAATAATAGTATTTGCCTTGTAGGGTGATTGAGAGATTACTATATCAAAGCATGAGAAACACTTAGAACAGGGCCATCTATGGTAAATAGTCAAAAATGTTACCTATGATGATCTCTACTTTATATTGAGAAAATAGAGGCTCTGGGGGTTAAAATAGGTCATCCAAGGCCACACAACCAACAAGTAGTGAAGGCAGGATTGGTTTGCAGCATCTCTGAGACCACATCTCTGCTGGTAACAGTTATTAATAAATATTCAGATATTCGTGTTGCTTCGGGCCCTGAGAAGAGAAGGCAGATAGCTTGTACCTTGATGGAAGGAAGCTTGTTGAGAGGAGAGGTGTGGGAGGAAGAGGGAGGACCTGGAAGAAAGTGTTTCCTGGACATCAGCGGTTGAAGATGTGTGTATTGATAACGGACGAGAACCAGGCCTATTGCATGAGAAAGATCTGGCCGTGGGTGAGGTTTTCACATTCATGGCCCATGGCTTGATGTTATCACAGAAAACTTCCATGCCACTGGCATCCAGAAATCATCCAGGGACAGGAGGCAAAGGACTGTCACAGAGGGCACGAGGCCAGTGTGTTGCCTCTGGGTGGCATTCAGTCAGGAGGACGCGCCTCCCTGGGCAGGGCCTGCAGGAGGGCGAGTTCAGGATCAGTCCCTCCTGGTGCTCCAGCGGAAACATGCCTGGGGCCTCACTTCTGGAAACTCGGCCGGCAGAGTGAGCAACATCCAGAGAGACAGAAAACACGCCAGTTCCGCCTGCCAGTGAGAACAATAAGCATGTTTGTGCTCGTTACAAAGCTCACCGCCGCTTACAGTGAAACTAGAGGAATTCTAAAATGATCATTTCAATTCAGAAGTCTCCTTGCTTCTCTTGGAGAAGGCTGCAAATTTATTGCTGCTTAATCTTTTGGGGGCACAAACCCCTTTGAGAACTGGAAAGTTGTGGATCCTTCCTCGAGGAAAAAAACAAGGGCTTCCTTGTGCAGACAGGGTGACGACTGTGCTGGTTGGCCTGGGACTGAGGGGTTTCCTGTGCTCAGTGCTAAGACCAGGACAGTTCGTGCAGGCCCCATAGGCTCACAGAGGTCAGCCTGCAAGCTCAGGGCCTCACAGACCCTCTAGAGCCGCTGCGGGCTGAGGAGCCCTGCCCTCACCTGTGTGATTTATTTATTGAAGAAGACAAGGTGTGTTAGTGCGGGGTAGAAACTGGCCTCAAGTTAGTCAAGGTGAATCAGTCTTGGAGAGCAAGACATCCAGTTCTCAAGTCTTTAGTAGGAATGTGTGTATTGGCTCTAAGACTCTCCACCTTTTCAACAGCAATATTCACTTCCCAGGGAACAGACAGGGCGGGGTCTTCTGCTGTGAAGTGATTTTTTCTTCTCATAGGAAACCAGCCACTTCTCTGGAATGACCTGGGTTTGAGGGACGGCAGTAGCTGACCGTCCGAAGGGCAGCTCTCTCAGGGAGGAACGCTGTGGGTTCTGAGCGGGCCGCAGCTTCTGAGCAGTAGCGAGCACTGATTCCAGCTGATATTTCAAATGGGTGTTATCCGAGAGCCCACTTCAGTCTGGTGTCAGAACCCGCTGGATGGGTTGCTTGTTCCATTCAAAGGGCAGTTCAGGGTACATCTTCCAGACACAGACGGACCAGGGACAGTAGTAAGGACAGGAAAACAAAGAGACTCAGAGGGCGGTGCCAGGGACAGAAGCTGTGCTGACCACTCTCCAGGGTGCACTGAGTGCTTCTGGGAAACATCCTCCCCAGGGCTGGGGTGTAACTCTCCTCTCTCTCTCGTTCTGGTAAAATACACACAACATAAAAGTTCCCTCTTAACCATTTTTAATTGTACAGTTCGGTAGTGTTGAGTATATTCACATTGTTGTGCGACAGATCTCCAGTTTTTCATCTTGCACATCTGAAACTCTGCACCCGTTGAACAGCAACTCTCCATTCCTCCTCCGCCCAGCCCCTGGTAACCACCTTTCTGCTTTCTGCTTCTCTGAATTGGACTTCTTTTATACCTCGTGTTAAGTGGAATTTGTCTTCTTCACTCCCTTGCTCTTTTCATGAAGGAGGTGCCGGCTTTGTTAAGCCGGGGTCAGGACCTTAGTCACTCTGCAGGTGATCACTGGGTCCTGGGTAGTGTGCACAGGGGTGCCATTGAGAGACAACGAAGCCCAGACCCGCCCTCCTGCTGAGTGACCCATCGCCTTGGTGGTGTTTAAGTTTTCAAACTCGGGACGTGGTCAGCAGGGGCCTCTGTCCTCCACTCCCTGCACCACACAGGGGTGGCTTAAAGCACAGATAACCCACCCTCCACCCTGTCCACCCTCAACCCACAGTGTCCGCAGGCTAAGCCCCTAGGATGGATGCAGACACAGACACAAGCCGCTAGGTCGTGAATGAAGCAGCGCTGGAAGCAGTCTTCATGGCTTGTAGACACTGGGTCTGATGATTTGTCTTTAAGTTGGCGAGTCGCTGAGCTAGACTGGGCAGCTGACTCCATCAGCCCCAGTTGAGCATGGAGTCAGATGTCACTGGGGTGATTCTCCTGTGACTCTATCTTCCATATAATTAGAAGTCATCAAACATAAGACACGTAATAACTAGGACACTTTTGTTATAAGACAGTGGTTAGAAGCTGTATGAGGATCCCACAGCTGCTGTAATGAAGGACCACAAACTTAGCTAAAACAACACAAATTTATTCTCTCACAGTTCTGGAGGTCAGAGTCCAACACAGGTCTCACCAGGCTAAAATCAAGGTGTCAGCAGACCTTCATTCCTTCTAGAGGTTCTAGAGGAGAATCTGTTTTCTTGCCTTTTTCAATTTCTAGAGGCAGCCCACATCCTTTGGCTTGTGGCCCCTTCCTCCATCTGCGAAGCCAGCAATGGCCAGTGCAGCCTTTCTCATGCTGCTTCACTCTGACTCAGACCCTCCTGTCTCCTTGTAAGGACCCTTGTGATTCCACTGGTCCCACCTGGATAATCCAGGATAATCTCCCCATCTCAAATTCTTCTTCACTTAATCACATCTGCAAAGTCCTTTTGCTATGGCAGGTCACATGTTCATGGGTTCTGGGGATGAGGGTGTGGACATCTTTGGGGGCTATCATTCTGCTGACCATAGAAGCATAGACTTTGCACTCAGCCAGGCCTCAGCTGGAATTTCTCCTGAACAATTAACTGTCCGCACGGCCTTGGCAAAGTTATTGAATCTTGCTGAGCTCATGCTTTCTGGCCTGTAAGATGGGAAGTCACCCATCTCATTGGAAAATTAAATGAGATAATAAGTGGAAGGCAGTCAGCCCAGGGCCTGGTATTTAATCAGCTCAGAGTCACTGTTAGCTCTGCTTCCCGTGAAGGAGGCTGTTCACCCCACAAGTGGATTAGCTCAGCCCATGTCTGCAGCCTTGGCTGCACCTGAGAATCATCTGATGAGTGTTTAAAGTACTGAGTCTTGAACTTTGCCCCAGAGCAACTGAGTCCAGTGGGGGTGGGAGAGGTTGGGGGACCTGGGTATTGTCAGTGAGTAAAGATGCCGCAGGGGGCTCTGAGGTGCAGTCAAGATTGAGACCCCTGCCAAGGCCAGGATCGGGTTTTAGCACAGGCCAGGCAAAAGGATCATAGGAGTGGCAGGAGGCCAACCCGCCTGGTTCTTAACCTTGAATGTGCGTCAGAATCACCTGGCCCTCCTCTGGGGCCATTCCGAATCAGTAGGGCAGGGTGAGGCCCAGGAGCCTGCATCTTTAGCCAGCACCAGCCACCCCACCCCTGAATGAATTTCCCCAACTTTGAGAAATGTTGATTAATTACTCTCAGACAATCCATCCTGAGGACCATTTTTCTACTGGGTAAGTTAAGGCCCTAATGAAAGTTTAACTCCAGGGTTTTATTCCCCAGGAACTGGATTACTTGATGACTTTAGAAAACAGCACATCCTGCCCCTCCTTGAGCCCAGCAGCTCCCTTGGCACCTGGAATAAACCTAAACTCCCTGTGGCCCTCGCAGCCCCACGTGATTGGCCCCTGCTCACCTCTCCCACCTCTCCCACCACATTCTGCCTGACTCACTATGTTCCAGCCGCCTAGCCCTCTTTCTGTCTCCTGGACATCACAAGTTTGCTCCTACCCTAGGGCCTTTGCATGAGTTGCTCCCTCTGCCTGGCATGCTCTGCCCAGACATATTCCCGTGGCCGTGGCTGGTTCCTTTTTGTCATTCAGATCTAAGCTCAAATGTCACATCAAGAACAGTCTTCCCTGATTAACTGTTCTAGAAGAGCCCCCTCCACCCCGTCACTTTATCTCGTGGTCTGGTTTTGCTTTCTTCTTAGCCAGAGTTGCTTGTTTGTGTGTTTGTTAACCTGTCTGTCTCCCTCAACTCCGCGAAGGCAGGGTCTCTATTTTGTTCCCTGCTGAATTCCCCTGCATCTAGTACAATGTCTGGCACGTCGCAGGTTCTCAGAAAGCATTTGTTGAACAAATGACTGCATGAACGATGGCTGTCTCTCTGGAAAAACCACTGAGGAATCAGGGTGGTGATGGTCATTTCCTAGGGGTTGGCATGGTCAACGCCCCACCAACCAGGCGGCCAAGTAGTGGTTGACGCCCCAGCAGGGCTTCACCCGGGAGCCCGACCCCCTTGACGCTGATCGCAGCTCTTCCTGCGCTTCCAGACCTCGAGCATCTGTAAGACCGCCGTGCACGCGGGAGTCATTGAGAACGAGAGCGGGGGCTACGTGGACGTGATGCCCGTGGATAAGAAGAAGACCTACGTGGGCTCGCTCAGGAACGGCGTTCAGTCTGAAAGGTAGGGCAGTATTCTCCGACTCTGGACACCCAAGGCCTGCAGGGGTGGCCCCTGGGGGCCTGGGAGGAGGCCAGAGATGGTGCCCTTTAAGATACAACTTGCATACACCTGCATGAATTCTTACCAGAACACCCAGGACAAACCTGTTCTCTTCTCTTCCTTTCTTTCTTCAAAATAAGAACTTTTTTCTTTCTCTTACCAATGCATGTTTTTGTAGAAAATTGAGAAACATCAGATATGCCCAAAGCAAAACAGTCATCCGTGACCTGTCACCTGGGGGAGTTTGGTTAGATTTTTGGTGTGTGTCCCTCTGCTCCTTTTCCCATGTGTGTGCCTGCATTTGTTCCCCCACAAAACAGTGAGGTCAAATCGTAGTTACATAATGGTTATATATAGCTATATAATAACATAGATACATATTGTTACACAAAAAAGAGCAGAGAGCGTGGAGTCCGGCACATCTAGGTTCTGACCAGGTCTGTGACCTTGAGCAAGCCACCCGATTTCTATGAGCCTCAGTCTTCTCACCTCTGATGTGGGGATGACAGTCGTCTCTGCCTCCTAGGGGTGTTGGGAGGATTCACTGAGATGCTGTCTGGCTCTTCTTCTAAGGATGCCAGTCATAGTGGACTCGGGCCCACCCTCATGACCTCATTTTAACTGAATCACCTCTTTAAAGGCCTGATCTCCAACTACAGTCATGTTCTGAGGTCCTGGGGGTTGGGACCTCAATATATGAATTTGAGGGACCCAGTTCAGCCCATAACGGAGGGGAGTGCTGAAGGTTTTCTGTTTGAGGGGCCCTCCTTAGAGAGGGGATATAAAATCAGGAAGACAGAAGGTGCTGGGCCCCGTGGAGCTTGGCGCCCGTCCCCGCCCCTCCGTCCTCCTCCGGAGAGCCCTGTATGTGAGGACACTGCCGATTCCAGTGGCACCGAGTTGCACGTGTTGCTTCCTGGGGGCCCTGCACGGGGACTGCCTCAGCCCTGAACAGCTCGAGTTAACAGTTCTGCCTTTTCTCCTTCGAAGTTTGCAAGCTTTGTTTGGGAAAAACTTAATGAAGGGAAATTCCATTGATTTGATGGGAGGGAAATGAAGCAGCTGATTAGGTGGAATTTCCTGGCCAGGCTGGAAAGAAATCCCAGGACACCCATCTCTCGGGCTCTCTGTACCGCCGTAAGAGACAACGGTCCTCGTGAGCAGCGGGGTGAAGCGGGGTGGGTTGGCCCTTGTTCCTCGGCCAGTCTCATCCCTGAGGACATCACACAGCTCCCTCAGGGCTGCCCACACGGCTGATTGTGCGGCGCCCGCAGGAGGGTGTCTGGGGAGGGCAGGGGACTGAGAGTGGGTCCCCGAAGTGGCTTCTTTCACACTGTCACCCCCCCTCCCGGGGAAGCCCGTTGGTCTTTCTTCCCGAGGGACCCACCTGAATTGCCGCTGTCATTGTAAGTGCCCTGCAGGCGGCTTTCCCAGGCCCACAAGTGGCAGACGCCCTCTGCACTATCAGAAAGATCTTAGTGAGTGATTTTAGCCCCAGAGTGGAGGCTCTGCTTCCCTCCCCTCTCCGATTCTTTTCCCTGCGACCTGTGGGCTGGAGTCTGCGATGATGTTTGAGCGGGTTACTCAGCCCTTCTGTGCCTCAATGTCCTCACTTACAAAGGGGAAAATGATAGTACCCACCCCGTGGGGTGGTGGGAAGACAGTGGGTCTCAAAGTGGGCTCCCCAGACCAGCAGCGTCCAAACCCCTGGGAGCTTGCTAGAAATGCAGATTCTTGGGCCATCCCAGACCTGCTGAAACAGAATCTCCGGGAGTGGGCTGCAGTGTGTGTGGGAACACGCCCTCCAGGGCCCTGACCCACGCTGGAGGATGACAACCGCTGCTGGAAGGACGACGTGAGGGCCACTGTGTCCCTGGCATGTAGTGACACTGCACGTTTCTGATAGTTTGCGATTGAGGGCCAATCCTTTCCCACATATTCACGGTGAGCCAGGACCGGCCAGGGTCCACGGGCACCGAGATGACAGAGTCTACCCTGCACACACAGAGGGGAGAGGCCAGGCCAGGAGGGCACGCAGGCTCCAATGGCGTTTGGGACCCTGCTCCACTGGGTGTCCTTGGGCAGGCAGTGTCCCCAGCCTCACTGCCTCCTGTGTCAAATGGTCACTGCAAGGGTTAAATGAGATAGCATGCGCAAAGCACTTACCTGGTGGCTCATACTAAGTGTCCAGTAAGTCCGGGGGCCCTCGCTGCTGTGACGTAACTTCTGAGAACTGTTGCAAACCTCAAGACGCTGTGGCTCTTTTCACGTGGGGGCAAGTGACTCAACCATAAGGAATAGCCTACATGGATCATCTTTCAGGACAAGGGAGAAAGCATTTTATAGGAATTCATTCTTTCTTCCTTGCATCCATCCTTCCAACATGCACTCGCCTATCAGGCGTCATACACTGGTGAGTCCCTATGATGTCCTGGGCACCGGGACCCAGCAGGGAGCACACAGCCTGGTCTTTGCCCCTGTGGGACTTGTTGTCTAGTGGGGGGACAGCTGATGCAGAAATAACGATTTCAGTAGCAGGGCACAGGGCACCACCGTGATGGAGGGGGACAGGGAGCAGAGCGTTGCAAGCAAGGCTCTGTCTTACTGTCTGGAGGCCCTTCCTTGGTGACGTGGCTCCAGCAGAGACATCTGGACGCCTTGGGCATGCCAACCCCCATCCTCCTCTTGTTTAGTTGGGACCTCAGTAACCCTCTGCACAGAGACCAGGGCTGAGAAATTTCCTTGGAGCCTGTTCCCATTAGGGACTGTGGGAACCAAGCCTGGGGCCAGAGGGTGGCTCTGTCCCCAATGTCTGTTGGGACCCTGGAGTGGTTACAGTTAGTCCCAACAGAGATGTGGACACTGGACACACTGCGACCCATTCACGGCAAATTGTGTTCTAAATATAGGGACTCCTTCAATCAATCAAACAACAGACAAAAACCTCCTGAACAGAGTTCTCAGCACACCGGCCAAAAGTTGGTTCTGCTTCAGTTTAGCAATAGTGTTTTCTAGAAGGGGATTTCCTGAAAGTTTTGAAAGATGATGGTGCAGAATTGGGACAACATAAGAGAACAGGTGCCTTCTCTCAGACACACGCCCAGGAAGGACAACAGAGGAGGGAAAAGATGTCCAGAAGAGCTTTTGATGTTGGGACTGGGGTTTGTCTGAATATTCTCAGGAAGAAGCTAGACATCTAGATGAATATCAGTTCAGAATTTTTTCTTAGACCAGGAACATTTTTCAAGACAGATTTCACAAGGAGATTGGGAAATATACCAACAATGATGTAACATTCTTGGTCACTTGGTTTTAACAAACATAACCTATAGAGAGAGGTAGATGGTATATATGCAGATGGACTTTCATCCAAATAGTGGATCAGTTGACTAGCGTTTATGGGCAGCTCCTGTGTGCTGGGCACTGTCCTAGGGGCTGGGGCCACAGCAGGGACAGAAGAGACAAAACTCCCTGTTCTCAGGGCCTTCTGTCTACTGTGGCACGTCCAGCAGATGTGGACTGTGAGCCACATATGGGATTCTAAAGTTTATAATAGCCATGGTAAAAAGAAACAGAAGGGAAAATTTAGGATATATTTTATATAATCCAATGTATCAAAAAATTATCATTTCAATGTGTATAAATAGAAAAAATATTGAGAAATTTGCATTCTTTTTTTTTAAATAAGATTTTGAAGACCTAATGTGTAGTTTACACACATAACACATCTAAGTTTGGATGAGCCACGTTTCAATTGTTCAAGGTCCAGGCTGGGCTGGACCAAGGCTGGGGGTGTTAGGTTCCCTTTGCTGTGCAAACAGGTGGGTTTCCCTCCAGCCACCCATTTCCCAGTGTTCTAAGGTCTGTACACACATTAGCTCATCTAATCCCCCCAGCAGTCCCATGAGGCGGGGTCTTCAGCTTTCCCCATTTTGTCAGTAAGGAAAGGGAGGCACAGAGAGGTTAATCAACTTGCTCAAGGTCACCCAGCCAACAAGCAGCAGATCCCAGACTTGAACCCAGGCTGCCTGCTCCAGCATCGATGCTCTTAACCAACACACATGACTCCTCACTGCAGACAAGTCGCTGAGCTTGGGGCACAGGCCCTTCCCAGAAGGGGCCAGGGCAAGCCTTGCAGTGCTAAGGTACACTTGTGTCTAACTTAAAAAATACTTATTAGAGGGGCTGGCCCCATGGTCGAGTGGTTAAAGTTCTGCACGCTCTGCTTCAATGGCCCAAGTTTGCAGGTTCGGATCCCAGGCGTGGACCTACACCACTCATCAAGCCATGCTCTGGCAGCGTCCCACATACAAAGTAGAGGAAGATGGGCACAGATGTTAGCTCAGGGACAATCTTCCTCACCAAAAAAAAAAAAACTTATTAGGAAAAAAATACATACTTATTTTTAATAATAAGTCTAGGGAGTAGAAAGTAAGGTCCCCTCAGGCACCCTGTTAACCTCTGTTACTTGCTCATTTTTAGCTTTTCCTGGCCTTTTTCACCCTGTGCACATAAAACATGCATAAAAATAAAAATAGAGGTCACATTATGCACACTGTTCTGAAACTTTTTTTCCCTAAAATATATTTTATATTGTATGAAATAAGATGAAGAGGTTTGTCGGTTTGCTGGGGTTTGGGCTTTTGTGCGGATACTTCATTCATTGCTCTGTATGTCCCCACTGCGCTCCAGGCCCGTCCGAGTTTTCCTGATGGGAGAACGGGGTTTGAATCTAGTAGGCATGATGGCATCCACAGCTCACGGCCCGCTGCGCGGCGCTGACCCCAGTGCCGCCCCTGGATGAGCACAGTCACGTTCACAGTGTCCCCGAGGACTGGGTACTTGATGGGCCCTGCTTTACAGGTGTGGAAACTGAGGCTCAGAGAAGTGGATTAACCACCCCAGGTCCTACACATAACATCTGAGACTGTGTCTGCCTGACTCTTGAGTTTTCCTGAAAG